GGTACCTGTTGCTGCGTTGGTAAAATCCTTATCAAAGTGGATTTTGCAGTAATGTCATTACCTTCATCTGAGACCTGACCTGTAATTAATTACATCTTGTCTTCCTAGCTTTACCTGTGGTGTGGAACCCAGGTGGCAGAATAAGGGACTTAGTTGTTCTTCATTAGAAATTCATGAAATAGCTGTGTGGATAGTTTATCTGCTTCTCTCATCCCCAGTGTGCCTGATCACTATTACATGCCTATAAATTAAAGCATTTGCTTATAATAAATGTCCTTTAACCTCAGTGCTTTTAGTGAGAACATGAACAAAGTCAAATTATTAATCAATTTAGGATGGAAAGCGTTTGTTCCTGTAAGAGGCTCTAACAGCCCTTTCTTTGTGCTTTCAATTCCAAATATACCCAAACCAGTGACTTTTAATTGTGAAGTGCTTGAGCACTTGGGAAGGAGGAGGAAGAAAGGAGGAAAACTTATTGCTTGCATCTGTCTCTAGATTTAACAACTGTTAGGATGGACAAGGGGCTTTTGGGTTTGTTTGGTGGTTTTGAATGTTTAGATTTTGTTGGTTCTGTTTGGTTTGTTTATTGTGGTTTTTTGTTTGGTTTTGATATTTGGTTGGGGTTTTTTTTTTAGTGAAAAGGCTGTGAAACTTCTCCAGGCACAAGATGCTGATGAATCTTCACTGTCAGTGTCACTGCAGTCTAACTGAAAGCAATACAAACCCATTTTGAGATCCAGTGATGACACTTAGAGGTTAAATTTTAATGTGTTTTATAAACCAAACCAGCCTGCTTACCTTTGCTGGAGAGTAATGAAGGAAGGGCAAGCTGCATTTTTATTTTATTAATACTTCTGATGAAAATAAATATATTCAAAACCCTGTTGCCAGCATATAATGTACCTTTAATGTCACAGCAAGTAAGGGCTGCAAAGTTATTTAATCCTGAATTCTAAGGTACTTCTTGTGAGTTTTTATACTCACTAGCAACAGGCTTGCTTTAGATTTATTAGATAGTAATTAGTCAACAGCTTTGAGGCTTTGCTTTGTTGTGCACTTCCTGCCCACAATTTTCTCAGTGCATATTAATTTGTATTTGAAAACTCTATGCTGCTAGTATTACGTTATTATTAAATAAACTACGGATTTGTCTGGTGATTTCCAATATCAGATTTGGCTGTTTACCCAGGAGATACCATTTATTGCTGCTTGTTTTTCTTGTGTTGGTTTTGTGCTTTTCAGGGACTCCCAGAATGAGTGGGGAGCAATTAAATGTGCAAAATATTTTTGCATAAAATATTTCTTTTTGAAATTAAATCTTCATTCCTGTCATTGCTTCCCTTTTGCCTTTTCCTTAAAAGAAGCTGGAATAGGCAGCACTCAAGGTTGGAGCTCTTTGAATGTGTGTGCTGTAGATTCTTCTGCCTTACTCTCTTCTCTCCATTTGGTTTTTATATATGGCAGTCCACTTGGAAATCAGTAAAAAAATTTAGTGTACACAACATTGTTATGAGCAGTGAACTTTGAAATAAGCCTTAAGTATTGTGTGTATATCCGTGTACACATAAGTATTTATGCAGTACACTTATGTATATTTTTAATCTGAGTTTTGTGAATAGATCCTTGCAGTTGTTTTTTCTACCCTGGAGGTTTTAAAGTTGATGTTGTAGTTAAGAGCCTTGTAAGTATTGTAGTACAGGACCTGACTTACTGTTTTCCTAGGGTGTAGCAGCTGTTCCTTGGAGAGCAGGAGATGTAGCATTCGGGTAATAGGGAAGCACTTCCTGTGTAGCAGCCACACGTTTCACCAAGTTAGCAAAGACAAGTGGTATTTGATGTCTTTCCATATTTTCTGGTGTCTGATTTCTTCATGAGTCATAAAATTACCATAGAATCACTGAATTGTTGGGGTAGGAAAAGCCCTATAAGTCCAATTGTTCCCTTGCACAGCCAAGGCTACCACTGTCCCAGGTCCCCAAGTGCCACATCCTCAGGGCTTTGAAATCCCCCCAGGAATGGGCACTCCTCACAGCATTCCAGGGCCTTTCCCAGCCCTCTGCCCCAGCCTGGAGCTCCAGGGCGTGCTGTGAGCCAGCGGCAGGGCCTAATCCTAACCCAACATCACACACATGGCCAAAGCTTTCTGGGGCCAGAGGCCTCTGAGCCTGACGGTGGTGGTGACAGGTTATGTGGGGTAGGAGCCTTCTATGAGAGTGGCCTGATGTATGTCAGGTGAGCTTTCCACAACCACATCCCTCATTCCTGGGGTGTTCTTCCTTCTGGAGTTACTCCCGTGCTCCCTTCCCAAGGCTTTGCTCACAGACCAAGCCAAAATGCTGTGTGGGACATGTGCCAGCTATTCCAACACCCAGCCCTGTGTCTCTGTGACACAGGGAGCACTGAGCGTTGGGAACAGGGGCCTGTTTGCTTTTTACTGCAGCCTGAAGATCAGTTGATCTTTCTGTATTGAATGGAAAGATGAAATTCTATTTTCAGTTTGCTTTTGTGCTGAAGATTTATTTCTGTCTGGGAGAGTGCTTATAGAAGAACATGGATGCTACTGCCTGCTCTAGCCAGTCAGTGCAAGCTATTCATTTTCCTTTCAGAGATGTCAACTCTGATCAATTACAGATTTTTAATAGATTCTAATTAATAGATTTTAATAATAGATTATAGATTTTAATATCCCTCATTTGTCCATAATGGCAGGAAGTTTAGTAAGCAGTCTGAGAAACTTACAGATAAGTTTTTACTAATAGGGTATCAAACAAGTTTGACTTAGTTTTAAAAATATAAGTCCAATGTTTTGCTGAAATTTCATTGAATTGCATTGGTGTTGAAATGCTCTCTTTTTTTCCCTCCTGAGATGTGGTATGCCTACACATAGGGGCTACGCATAGGGGCTACACATAGGGGCTACAGTACTTAACAGGATTATTTTCTTTTATTTTTTATATCACTCTTGGTAGCATTTCTGTGGTGAATGAATTGTAATTAGTAATTGCTTCCAGATAAAACTGTTGCAGGACTTCTATGAGCAGAGGTTCCCTGAGAGCTTGCCACATGGCATGAGATTGTTTTTAGCTTGAGAGACTTGCTCAGGTTTTCAGAATCTCTGCTTTTGGTTGCAGGCAAAGTTCTATCAGTGTTGATACCGTTTGATTAATGGCTTTTCCATGGATATTATATTCAAAAGGATGATTTTATTAGACAAAAAGTCTAGATGTTACTGCCAACATCGAAGTTTCATTTGGTTTTGTGAATTCTTGGTTGGTGGATAAGTAGTTTGAATTGTCAAAGATGTTGAAATTTTGAAAGAAATATAAATCACAGAATCATGGAATGGTTTGGGTGGGAAGGGACCTCAAAGCCCATCCAGTGCCACCCTGCCATGGCAGGGACACCTCCCACTGTCCCAGGTGCTCCAGCCCCAGTGTCCAGCCTGGCCTCTGGCACTGCCAGGGATCCAGGGGCAGCCACAGCTGCTCTGGGCACCCTGTGCCAGGCCTGCCCACCCTCCCAGGGCACAATTCCTGCCCAATATCCAGCCTAAATCTATACCTTCTGTATGTGTATTTTTTTTAATCTAATCTCTGTTTACACTGACATCTGTGCCTCCATAGAGAGCCCAGATGCTTTTTGTGCTTCCAAAAATCTGAGTTTTTTTCTTCACTTGCTTGAATGTCCATTTCCTGCAGAACTTCAGTAATTGGCTTTTAAAAATTTTCGGCTCAATTTCTCAGGTTGAAAAGTATTGCAATAAATTCATTTATAGACAGAGGAAGATGGTGTTCAAAAACCTGTGAGTTTTGCCTTTCTAATTTGAATCAGAGATCAACCTTAAAAATGCTTGATGGAAAAGAGTTTGGAAAATAATTTTTGACTCAGCCAAAATGTGTTAAAAAGTGAGACATTAGCATTAACAGATCACTGGGGAAAGGCACAGAAAAGGTTCCAAGATACCGGTTGGAGGAATTTCTGGTTTTGCTTTCTTCTCTTTTTGCCAAGTTTAAATTTAGAGTGTTTTTGTTTTAGAGCTGTGTTGTAAGTAGGACAGTTGAATATTGCCAGAGGGCTGTTATTTGCTCCAGCAGTGTGCCGACCATGGAGTTTATAACTCGCCTAGGAAGGAATCCTGGTTTGGGTGCCAGTGTGTGCTCTACCAGAACGTGGTGTTTGGGCACCTTCAGGTGATGCTCCCTTCTGCTGCCATCCTTCCCTGTCATTTATTTTCAGCAGTTTCTGCAATACTTCAGCTGTTTATTAGAACTCATCTGGAATATTTTGACTAATTCATATGAGACAGGAATGCATATCCCAGTGGTTTTCTTTTGCTGGAGTAGAATTTGCACTGTGCAGCATTTGCAGATGTTGATAACAATATAGAATCACAGAATGGTTGGGGTGGAAGGAACCTTAAAGCCCATCTCATTGCACCCCATCCATGGGCAGGGGCACCTTCCACTATCCCAGGGTGCTCCAAGCCCAGTCCAGCCTGGCCTGGGGCACTGCCAGGGATCCAGAGGCTTGGGAGTCAGTCCAAGCCTCCATTCAGGAGGTTGTCATGGAGGTTGTGAAGAGTCAAGTACAGAATGAGTGAGAGGTTGCCACCATAGCCTTCATCTGAACTGCATGCAAGAATGGTACAGTTTGTGTAAATAAATAGTTTAGGAATAATTTTATCTTCTGTTGGGGAATTCCTTTTGCTGGTTAAGTGGTATATCCATACATATAGGTTGGGAACCATGGCATCAATATCATAGAGAAACCATCTCTCTTGATGTCCTTCAAGATGTCATTCTTGAAGAACAATCACTAGAAGGCTTGCACAGAGAGTTCAACAGGAGACTCCCAGCTGGGTTTTGTTGTGCTGTAGTTGGTTTGTTTATAGTGGCTTTTAAGTAAATAATAATAATCTAATTATGGATCTTCAAAATTTAGAGAATCCTTTCTGAATGTGTAAAACCACTAGACGCTAACGTTTGTGTTTTTGTTTGCAGACTCACTGAACCTTCAGGGTATGTCACAGATGGGCCTGGAAATTATAAATACAAGACAAAATGCACCTGGCTCATTGAAGGAAGGTGAGTGTTGGAAGCAGCTTGCGATTTTGTGTTGCTTTTTGGCACTTTTAGGTGAGTTTTATCTGCACTGAATACTGTTAGGTCTCTCAATTCTTTCTGGCTATTCTAAAAGCTAGATTGGGCAACACTTAATTGTTCTTGGTAAATAAGTTTTTGTGTAACTGTGCCCTCCAAACTGACTTCTGATTAAGAGGTTTGTGTTGAAACAGCATGTGGTGAACAAAAAGAAGTGCACTTATTATTATTAATTACTTAACTGACATCATAGTGGGCCATTCAGATGATGGGATTCACTGCACATGGGATTTTTCAGTAGTATGAGAAACAAGAGAAAGCTCTGAAAGCTTTTACTCATGAAGAATCAGTTTCTGTAGTGATGAACTTCAGATGTTTCTTTACTCACTGAGCCATGAGGACTTCAGAGACCTTTTTCTAAACTGGGAGAAGTCTCTCAGATCTCTCCCCTCACTTTGCTGCCCTTCTTGTATTTGATCCTTATATTGCTTACAGCAATTTCTTGCACAGGTTTTTAGGAGTAGCATATTTAATGTCTATCCTCTGTCACCTGATTGATGGTGCAGCAGTTCAGAGCATCTCACTTGTTGAAATATATTTTTGATAGTATCAAGCTGGTGGTGGATCTGTCTCTAAAGCTTTTCCATGGTCAGATATGATGCTGTGTGATAACGTCTGTGTGTTCAGTCACGTTCTGTGTTGTTCCCTGAACGTGCAGGTGGAGAGGGCTGTGAATTGGCAGGATGGAGTGTGAACTTGTACTGGACACTGCAAACTGAGGCCTCTTGGCATCTTGGAGGATCAGAATTTACTACAGTCCCAGAGGGCACTTTTCTATTCCTTAGTCTTCTCCCTGTGTTTAACATATCTGTTGCTGACATGCACAGTGGGGTCAAGGCACCCTTAGCAAATTTACCAGTTGATACCAGGACATATGGTGTGGGAAAGGTGCTGAAGGGAAGAAATGGCATCAAAGGGGACCTGGACAGACCAGAGACATGGGACTGTGTGAACCTCATGCAGTTATGGAAGGCCAAGTGCAAGGTCCTGCATGGAGCTGGAGCAAGCCAGAGCACAAACACAGGATGGGTGGGGAATGGCTGGAGAGCAGCCCTGGGAGAAGGACCTGAGGGTGCTGCTGAGTGAGAGCTGGACATGACCCAGGCCAGAGGCCCCCGTGCCTGGGCTGATCCCAGCGTGGGCAGCAGGGGAGGGAGGACTCTGTCCCTGTGCCCCTCAGGTGAGAGCCCACCTGCAGAGCCCCCCGTGCCTGGGCTGGTGGCAGCAGGAAGGTGGGAATTGTGTCCCTGTGCCCCTCAGGTGAGAGCCCCCCTGCAGAGCTGCCCCAGCCCTGGGGCCAAAAGCACGAGGACGTGGAGCTGCTGCAGAGAGCCCAGAGGAGGCCCCGGAGCTGCTGCAGGGCTGGTGCCCCTCTGCTCTGGAGCCAGGCTGGAGAGCTGGGAATGTTCCCTGGAGAAGGGAAGGCTCCAGGCAGAGCTCAGAGCCCCTGGCAGGGCCTGGAGGGGCTCCAGGAGAGCTGCAGAGGGACTGGGGACAAGGCCTGCAGGGACAGCACACAGGGAATGGCTCTCACTGCCAGGGGGCCGGGGTGGATGGGATCTTGGGAATTAGGAATTGTTCCCTGCCAGGGTGGGCAGGCCCTGGCACAGGTGCCCAGAGCAGCTGTGGCTGCCCCTGGATCCCTGGCAGTGCCCAAGGCCAGGCTGGATGGGACTTGGACCAACCTGCCCATGGCAGTGGGTGGAACGAGATGGTTGTGAAGGTCCCTTCCAACCCAAACCACTCTATGGTTCTTTGTTTAGGAGGTCTGATGAGTTTGGAGGAATTATTCATTGTATCTGCTTCAGACATTTATTTTAGTTGAGGAAGTTTAATTTCTGAGCTCCTTAGGTACTCATAACTGAGGGCTAAACTGCTCCATAGAACCATCCAGAATGATGAAATTGAGAGGCAACCACTCACTATTAACTTTATAAGAAGCCCAGTTTTTTGAGGTGGTTAAGAGCAAAAGTTGGATGCTCCAAGTGGCTACTCCTTTTAATTTGTGTAGGTAATACAAATACAGCTGCTGGCAGTTTGCAATTACAAATAATTTTAAAAATGCTTCACAAGAGCATTACTGCAGGCAAACCAGCCTTAGCAATCCCAGCACAGGGAGCTTAACTGTCATAACTTATGTTTTTAAAAGATATTGTGACTCATATTTTTATCAAAGTCAAAGTGCTTCTCATGAGTCCTCAATAATGTCACCAAAGCTGCTCCTCCAGCCTATAATTACTACTACTGTGAGGCTTCCTAGGGAACCACCACTTTGTGGATTTTGAAGTGAGATCCTTCTTGCTGGAAAGACAGAAATGTTCCTCCGTGTTCCATAGCCAGGCATAGTTTGGAGTCCTTCTCCTGCTTATGAGTGTTTATACCCTGCTGTCAGGGCATGGTGGTAAACAGAAAAGAGATAATCATGCTGATTAAACCAGCTGAAATATGCAGCCCTGTGTTCCTTAGTGTTCTCATTTCCTTTCTGCACTGTTCCTGATTTTTCTTGGCTGGTGTCTGTGCTCTGTTCTTGTCCCAGGGGGAGTCCTTTTTATTTTTCCCAGGCGTGTGAATGAGGCAGATGAGCTCCTTGGATCCTGAGGGACCATGTGATTGTGCAGATGAAGGCTGTCTGCTAACAGTTGTTGGCTGTTGCAAAGAGACTCTTCCTTTTTGTTTGTGGTCTGAACCTTTATTGATTGACAGTTTCTTTCTGCTCTACAGCTGCCAGGCTATTCAAGTAGAAGCAATTCCCTATGACTCCATAGGCTGCTCAGTTCTGAAGTCGTAGGTACTCTTTGTACCTTTTCTTTAAGCGGGACATTATCCTTGAGTTCCACCTGCTGCTCTTTTCCAAAGGCCTAGAGTAGATTGTTGTACCTATCAAAAAATAGTCATTTGCAGAATAACTCCCTAAAGACTCCCCCTCCTGTGGGAAGGAAGGACTATATGGCAAGCTGACATTTTTAATATTTATAGGATTAGGATTAACAGGGAGTTCATCTGAATTCAAGGGCAATGCTGTTGGGGAGATCCTACACGCTTGGGTCTATCCTTTCAACAGCTCCAGCTGTGGGTGGGAACAAGCACTGCTGATACACATTCATTTTCTATTTGTTTCAGGTCTAAGCATAATGTTAGTGGTGTTTGCACCATCCTGGAGCTGAGCCTAAGTTAAATGTCTGCTGTGCTTTCTCTGTGGTTGTCTTTAGATGTATCTTTTTTATATTGGCCTGGAGGAACAAATAGTATTTTGCCATGCTAAAAACCTGGACCTGCCCCAGCCGTGTGTGCTGGCCCCCAGAGCCCCCCGTGCCTGGGCTGGTGGCAGCAGGAAGGTGGGAATTGTGTCCCTGTGCCCCTCAGGTGAGAGCCCACCTGCAGAGCCCCCCGTGCCTGGGCTGGTGGCAGCAGGAAGGTGGGAATTGTGTCCCTGTGCCCCTCAGGTGAGAGCCCACCTGCAGAGCTGCCCCAGCCCTGGGGCCAACAGCACGAGGACGTGGAGCTGCTGCAGAGAGCCCAGAGGAGGCCCCGGAGCTGCTGCAGGGCTGGAGCCCCTCTGCTCTGGAGCCAGGCTGGAGAGCTGGGAATGTTCCCTGGAGAAGGGAAGGCTCCAGGCAGAGCTCAGAGCCCCTGGCAGGGCCTGGAGGGGCTCCAGGAGAGCTGCAGAGGGACACTGGCTTGTTTGAGCAGTGGATGAGGTCACTTGGTTTGTTCAACCTGGGGAAGAGGGGACTGAAGGGAAACCTCATCACAGCCTGCAACTGCCTTCTGAGGCAGAGGAGGGGCACACACTGATCTCTGTGTGACCAGGGACAGGACCCAAGGGGAGTGGCTTGAAGTTGTGTCAGGGGAGGCTTAGTTTAGGTCTCAGAAAAGGCTCTTCCCCCAGAGGCTGGTCAGACAGTGCCCAGGCTCCCCAGGGAATGGTCGTGGTCCCAGGGCCGCCAGAGCTCCAGGAGAGTTTGGGCAATGTGCACAGGCACAGGGTGGGATTGTTGGGGTGTCCTGTGCAGAGCCAGGAGTTGGGCTCAGTGATCCATGTCAATCCCTTCCACCTCAGGATATTGTGTGATTCTGCGATCTGTTCTGCACAACTGTATACAGTTTTCTGACCATAAAGAAATTTTTGCTTAATACCAGGGGAGGTGCATTAAAAAAAAAACACAAAACCCTGAACCACAGCCTGTTTAATGCACCTAGAGTTACACCAAATGACTCAGTCTTGTCTAGACTGGAGCTTCACACCAAAAAAGTGTGTTGGAGGGATTTTGCTCTGTGTTGAGTGGCTAATTACAAATATTGTATTTACTTATTTATTTTTTCTTTACAGACCAAACACAATCCTCAGGCTTCGATTCAATCACTTTGCCACAGAGTGCAGCTGGGACCACTTGTATGTGTATGATGGAGACTCAATTTATGCTCCCTTACTGGCAGCTTTTAGGTGAGTTCCCCTTGGTGATACTCTTAACTGTAGCCAGTGGTATTTTCTTAACTTAGAGCCTGACTTGCATGTGGCTTCTGACACTGTGAATATGATCCAGTAATCCAAATGTATAACGCTGCAAGTGCAGCACATATAGCCAGTGTCCTTTTGTGCACTGTTTGTCAGCATAAACAATTAAGGAGTTGTTTTTAGCTTTTACAATGAACAAGTCATGTTACTGCATTCTAGCATTTAAGTATTATATTTTCATTTCCAAGTCCTGATTCTTTGAGACACAAAAAAACCTATTGTTGTCTGTCTGGGCTGGAGATAATTTGGTGTGCAGGCTCCTTTGAGAGAAGAAAACTGCCCCATGTATGGATTTGAATATGATTTATGACTTAAACTTGTAGTGTGTCAATATAGACAGAAAGGCAAAAGCCAGCTAGTATTGTAGACATGGAGGTCTCATAGAATTATGTCTATCTTTTATGTACCTTAAACTTCAAATTTTTTAGTTACTTGGAGCACGTTCAGGAACAGCAATGATGGATCAACCTTGTAAAAACATCGAATCACAGGCTGGTTTGGCTTGGGAGGGATCTTAAAGCCCATCCAGTGCCACCCATCCATGGCAGGGACACCTCCCACTGTCCCAGCTGCTCCAGCCCCAGTGTCCAACCTGGCCTGGGACACGGCCAGGGATCCAGGGGCAGCCACAGCTGCTCTGGGCACCTGTGCCAGGGCCTCACTGCTGTTACAAGGAAGGATTCCTTCCCAGTGTCCCATCTCTCCTGCCCTCTGGCAGTGGGAAGCCATTTGCTGTGTCCTGTGTCTCCATCCCATGGGGAATGTTCCTCTCCAGCTCCTGATGTGTAAAAGTTCCTGTTCTGCCTACAGGTTACAGGTATTTGGCTCGTCCACGTGATGAGACATCAGTGTGGCTGTTGGTGAGCAATCGACATTTCATCCTGAGACCTAAACATAACTTGTGCTTTTCTGTGTTTCAGTCGTGCAGTGACACCACCACCTTACGCTTTTTATTCTTCAAACTGAAATTAGGAAAATAATCCCAAGTTATCCATGGAAAAAAACAGTGGTTCCCCTGGGACTCTGCTTGTTCCAAGTGGCTGCATAACTATTTCCAGAATTAACCTTCTGCTGGGCTTCCTCTCATTTGTGTAATGAAGGTCTAAAAATACTTAGTGTTTGTTCTAAAAAATCCTTATAATGTCTGTGAGAGAAGATCAGCAGAAGGACAAAAGTTGATAGAAATTTAAACCACCACATGTAGTTTTTTGGTCTTCAGCTGCAAATGCAGAATTGCTTTGGAGTGAAAGAATGTTTCCTGTAAAGCTTCAGACCAACATGAGGTCAAAACAGGACACCTAATGTGAAGAAGGAACAACTTTTCTCTTCTAAAAACCTCCAGAAATGTGGCAATGCCACCTGGAAGTGCTCTCCTGGTATCATGCTCTGATTGATGTGCAGGAAGAGGAGGAAATGTCATCTTGACCCAATGTCATTTTGTTCTAATCAAGCTATTTTTAATACACTGGTGAAAATGTGAGATGATGATTTGTGCCTGCCATTTTTTGTGGGTTTTCCAAAAATTAATGGGCTTTTAAAATGGAAGTTATAAGGAGCTCACAACATTAACAGTTGTAGTTCAGACTGGAAAATCTGTAAATCAGGAAGCCTGGGCCTTCAAGAAAATGTGAGCATAGTACAATAATGGGTTTGAGGTAGGGGAAAAAACCCTTTTTTTTTTTTTTAATTGCTTCCTTAGATGACATTTGAATTCAACTTCTTTAGCAGTGAGCTCTGGTTTTCAGTAATCCAAGTTCAGGAAATGTCAGATGCTTCTCATTTTGGTGAAGCACCAGAAAGCATCTGTTGAAAAACAACTTTCTCTAATACAAAATAAATGCCTTGGATTTTTTTAAGAGCAGTGTTCATATTTTCTCAATTTAGTTTGGGTTATGTTAAATTTATTATTACCATAACCATATTTCCTTGTTCATTTTTTTTCCACCCTGCCAGGATATTTGCAAGACTGAGCTTTATACAGTTGGGCCCTGTAAGGTTTCAGAGTTTGTTGATAAACACTAGAAATTCCTTTCTCTCAACTCAATTTTTGTTCCCTCCCTGATTTTTTACAGCAGTTCCTTGAACCTTCACTTCCTTCACTGCTCTCATTTTGTTTTCTTGACCTTCTGATGCTCATTTGTGTTTGTTCACAAGATATTTATCCTAAAATATATATATATAATCTTGTATATATATAAGATAGTCTTGGGAATCCTCAGCACTGGATTGTAGGGAAGCTTGAAATTTGTTTTATCAATTTTGAACAGCAGTAAATATTTGCTTAATACTAACATTTACACAGTTCTAGTGTGTGCATAGACTAAACTCCTTGTATTCTAAGAGCCCCTGGAGCTGTCTGGTCTTGCACATTAAGGTTGTCTAGTTAAACAGTGTTAAAAATAGCTTTGCTGGCTTATATTTGTGAGCACAGGCACAATGAGATTGTGTAAATGTGCTGCTTCAAAAATGCAGTAAAAGAACATGGAAACAAATGCAGCATGTTTGTCAGCACTGATTAAGAAATCTGAATTAGATAAACTGCACTCAGCACATGTGAACTTGGTAGGTTTTATTAACTTTACTCTGCATTAAACATTTACCAGAGCTGGTTTTGCACCTTTATTTTCATTTTGCTCTGGTTGGCGGCAGGGTGTTTTCCTGGTCAAACCCAGCTGTTGTTCTGCAGGATGTTTGGCAGCGGCCCAGCAGCTGCTGTGGCTGCTCTCAGGTGCAGGTGGAGGTTCACGTGAGCCCGAGCTCCCTCAGGAGCAGGAGCAGCTCAGCAGCCATGTGGTACTTGTTGGTGAATATGGCACCTGAGCACCCAAATTTGGCTGTAGGGTGGAGTTGGGTTGGAAAGGTCTGATCCCTCTCTCAAAGCAGGATGACCATCAGAGCCCTTTGTCCAGTCAAGGTATGAATTTATCTTTAGGATGGAGATCTTGTTGATCTCTGGGCCAGTGGTCCAGAGATTGGTGTTAAGATAATGATAAAAAATTAATCTAATACTTACATCTAGCCACAATCCCTTGCTGCAACCTGTGTGTGTTGCCTCCTGCCCTTTTCTTGTGAACTTCTGGTATTCCCTTCTCTCTAACCTCTCCTGAGGTAGTTGAGGTCAAATATTAGGTTTTACCCTTCTTCAGCTGTCTCTCCTTGAAGTTAAAGAAACCTCACTCCTTCTGCCTCTCCTTGTACATAGATCGTATGGTTGACCCTCGTCTATTTTTTCCTTCTATTCCCTCAATTCTTTGCTAGAAATTGTAACTGAACTTGCTGCCATGGGAATGTGTATCCAGCTCAGGGGCTTCCAACAGCAGAAGGGCCTGGAGCTGCCAGAGCAAGTCCAGAGGAGGCCACAGAGATGCTCCAAGGGCTGGAGCTTGCCTGCCACTGAGCCAGGCTGGAGAGCTGGGAATGTTCCCTGGAGAAGGGAAGGCTCCAGGCAGAGCTCAGAGCCCCTGGCAGGGCCTGGAGGGGCTCCAGGAGAGCTGCAGAGGGACTGGGGACAAGGCCTGCAGGGACAGCACACAGGGAATGGCTCCCACTGGCAAAGGGCAGATTGGGCTGGGATCTTGGCAAGGAATTCCTGGCTGGGAGGGTGGGCAGGGGCTGGGCTGGAATTCCCAGAGCAGCTGTGGCTGCCCTGGATCCCTGGCAGTGCCCAAGGCCAGGTTGGACACTGGGGCTGGAGCAGCGTGGGATAGCAGAAGGTGTCTCTGCCATGGCAGGGGCTGGAATGAGGTGAGTTTTAAGTCTCTGGTTTAAGCCTCTAATGCAAACCAGTCTGTGATTCCATGGCTGACTGTTTGTATTTCTCATAGAAAAGGCAGCAAGAGAGGCAGCAAGTAAAAAATGAGTAGAATAATCCTTTTTCTGCTGTTGTGGAATTAAATTTACCTCACTGCTGCAGATTTTTCAGGTGAAAAGGATATAAATGATTAAGAAATGAATTGGATAGAAGTGGTTTATTTAACTATGCTGGCTTGGGTGCATTCTCCAGGTCTATGTATCTGAACTGGGTGTCTGGAAGGTGGGTTACACATTGCTATAATGTTCTGTACTTGCTTGGTTTGTCACAGCCTTTCCCAATCATTTTTGTAGCCCACAGTCAGGAGGAGATCTGGTCTCAGCAGACCTTTAGTTTGACTTCGTAATACAGATTTTATTCTTTTGGGACACATTAATTTCCATTTCCAAACATGCCACCTTGTTTTTGGAATGGGACCTGCTTAATTCTTTTCTGGGTAACACGAGAGGGAAAGGTTTTTGATATGGATATTTAACATTCTAGATAGCTTCAGGTTTTCAGATTAAATACTTCCAACATACCTGTACTTATGATTCCACAAATTCATTATACTTCAAATAATGGAAATACATTGAGTTTCAATTATTTTATTGAAATTCAGTTATATTATTGAAAGTACTGGTGCATTTACTCTTGTTGCTTTGCTCCCTTTTATTTCACTTCTAATATTGTTCTTTTACTTTTCTAGTGGTCTTATTGTTCCTGAGAAAGACAGCAATGAAACAGTACCTGAAGTTGTAGCTACTTCGGGATATGCTCTTCTACATTTCTTCAGTGATGCTGCCTATAATCTCACAGGGTTTAACATCACCTATAAGTAAGTGGCACTACTCCACACTGATGCTGCAGGTTGAGCAAAAGGAGTTTTCCCCTTTTCTTACTTTTGTCTTGAAATAAGCAGTTTCCATTGAAGTGTGTAATTATGAGCAGACACCTGAAATTAGATTTTTATCTTTATTATACCCTTGCAACAGCTAATAAGTGGCATGTGCTCAATGTTCAAACTTGTCAGTTGTGAGTATGGACGAATGTTTGCTCCAAAAGACATCTTACTATTTATTTTATGTTATTAGATCCATTTGATTCTATGTAATCAACAAGAATTTATGTGTTTTGTGCACATCTGTGCTCCTGAGTGCTCTGCAGAAATACTCTAGCACAAATGCACTTTTCCATCAGCCACACATTTTACTTGAGATGCTGGGCTCTTCGTGCTCTTGAGGATCGTCATCCTTGGGATTTGCTTCCTTATTCAACCCCTGCATTGTATCCCTTCATCTGGCTTCTTTTTCTTCTGGACTGGTTTTATATTCTTTCATTCATATTCTAAACAGATGGGTGCTTTCTGCTCACTGACATGTATTTAGTCCTCATTGATGAGCTTTTTAAAAGTAATTCTGGTGTGCTCCCTAATTCATCAACTGCTTTTAGAAGGGTTTTGTCTTGTCAGTTGTCATTTGTAAATGCGTGGACATACTCACAGAGATGGAAGGTTTTGCTTCTGCAGCGATCATGAGCTTTGGATTTTTTTTTTGCTCCTACAGATGCAAGTTATGTTTGTGCCACACTGGGAGATTTAATTTGGGAGTAACCTGCAGAAGGACTCACCTCTTTCAGAAAAAACAGCTGGAAAAACTTCAGTTATAACTGACTTCTTGCAAAAATTGACTTTCTCTTGAAATGAGTAGCTTAGTTTTTGAATATTAAGTCTCAGTGCCTTCATCCTTAGTAAGAACAAAATATGTGCTTAATAACCCACATAATAGTGAAATTTTTTTAAAAAAATAGGGGGCATCCAGCATCCCTTCAAAACTCTAGAGGAAGATGAGGAGTGTATGCAAAGTTACTGGGATCAGAGGAGCTGAAGAGGCAGTGTTTTCCAAGTCTGGCTGATTGCATAAACCAGGACTCCATCTACTGCCAGCTGTTAGATTTGCACCATTGCAATGAAATACTGTCTTCAAGAACAATATTCTTTTAATTCTTCACTTTCTTCATAATTTCAAACAATTTTCAAGTGCTGTTTTGTGTTCTGGTTCTTAGGTTTGCTCATAATATTTTTCCAGCAAGTAGATGGAATGGTACATAACAGTCTTCATAGTTACCGCTGAGTGTAGGTAGTAGTTCACTCAGCACTTGTGAAATTATGTCTTGGAGCCAGTGACAGTGAGAATATGGGTACTAATTCCCATCTGTGAATTATTCTGGTTGATACACTAGCAAAAACTGGAGTCTGGAAATTACTATCATCTCAGAATTTGGATCTTTACCAAGGTATCTGGTTTTGCCTCAGCTAAGTTGCAGATATTATAAAATCAGAACTTATTCAAACCAGGCACGTCTTTGGCTTGGGTTTCATCTCCAGTTGTTCTCTTGGTAAGCAGATCTCAGAATAGCACCTAATTGTGAGCAGTTTAAGTAAAAATTGCACAGATGCCACAGCAGCCTTATCCTCTGATTAAAGTCCTCACTTACTGTTGGGTGTTTTAAGGGAAGTCCTTTGCCTTACAAATGGCTAAAAATCATATTTCTGATTTTCTCAGAGGAGCTGCAAGTTTAACTTGTGAAATGAGGCAGTTTTTTAGGAATAGAGTACAAATCTCTACAGATGCATCACACCGGGTAGCAGATGACTCTTTTGGTTTGTAGTGATTTGTTTTCACTTTGTTCAGCATCACTCTTGCCTTTGTTAATAATTCTTGGGAATCTCTTTCCTTCCTGACAAGCTGCTTTGTGCTCTGTCCCCAGTTTCAACGTGTGTCCCAATAACTGCTCTGGCCAGGGTGAGTGCAGGCTCAACAGCAGCACCATGGCCCCGCAGTGTGAGTGTGCCGAGCGCTGGAAGGGAGAGGCTTGTGACATTCCCTACTGCCCGGGGAACTGCGGGGCTCCTGAGAGGGGCCACTGCAGCCTCAACGGCTCCAGAGCGTGTGTGTGCTCTGCAGGCTGGCAAGGTGAGTCTCCTGGGGGATACACAGAACTTTGGGGGCTGCATTTTCTATCTATGGAGCTGGCAGTTTAACTGGGAGTATGTGGGAATGTTCTGCATGACAAGTATTAGCATTTTGACTAGGAACAGAGTATCTGCTTTTCAAATTTAAGAGGTTACACTGTATGTGGAAGGATGGATATGCTGGAGAGGAGGACACAGAGAAGCTCCAAGGGCTGGAGCCTCTCAGCTCTGGAGACAGTTTGGGAGAGCTGGAGAAGGGAAGGCTCCAGGGAGACTTCAGAGCCACTTGCAGTGCCCAGAGGGCCTCCATGAGAGCTGGAGAAGGATGTTGGACAAGGGCCTGGAATGCCAGGACAAAGGCGAATGACTTTACATTGAAACTGGGCTGGTTTAGATTAGCAGTAGGGAAGAAGTTTTTTACAATGAGCATGATGACACCTTGGCACAGGGTGCCCAAGGTAGCTGTGGCTGCCCCTGCGTCCCTGGTAGTGTCCAAGGCCAGGTTGGACATTGGGGCTTGGAGCAGCCTGGGATAGTGGAAGGTGTGGAAGGGGGGTGGAAGGTGATCTTTCCAACCTGTCCCAGTCTGTGATTCTGTGTTTTTTTATGATTGCTGTTAAAAGCAACTTTGTCACCATCCAAAGAGGGACTAACCTGTGGTGTACAGGCATTCCTTCAAGTCTCATTCCTGTGCACCTGAAGCAAATTTGAGCCTGGTTGCCATAATTGACCTGTTTGAATATGTGAAATGCCTCATTCTCATGTCCAGCTGAGCTGATCAGCCACATCCAGCTTGGCAGTGATCTGGTCTGAGCATACATGTTTCCATTGCAAAGACCTACTGACATGTAAGAACTAGTCTCATATTAAATGCAACCAGCTACGTCACTAGCAGGAGATTGACGTCCAGCTGAAATACAGGCTTTGAAAAAAAAACATTTTAAAACCTTCTTTTCCCAGGTCCTGGCTGTTCAGTTCCTCTTCCTGCAAACCAGTCGTTTTGGACCCGGGAAGAATACACTCTTCCAAAACTTGCTCGAGCATCGCACAAAGCTGTCATCCATGACAATAAAATGTGGATTGTTGGAGGCTATGTCTTCAATCATTCTGACTCTCAGAAGGTTTTAGCGTGAGTATAAACCCAGATAATAAAAACTAAAGATAGGAACTTAGATTTGAGAGTTATTTTTAGGAAATGCCACCTGACATGCTTTGCTTTGGTCTGTGCTTCATCTGCAAGGGAAAACAACCATAATAAAAACTCAGGCTCATGTTTGAGATGGGGGAAAATCTTGCTAAGGGGTGCTAATTTTGGAAAAAAAAAGCATAATGTTGCTGATGTTCAGTGAGCATTTGATTTATCTGTGTCTGACAGCATTTAACTGTTCTCTGTATATTTCTGGGCCAGCTCCTAAATTATATCTAGCCTCATATTCAAAGAGGGTTATTTTGCTTCAGTGTTTTTTAGCTCTTCCCTATATTGTGTCTGTGTGACTTGAGTTTTTGGCTCCTTAATCAACACCTACTGATTACTCTGGATGGCTATCCACAGTGGATGGGACACCAAACAGGGAGGGGCATTAGGATGAGGGCATTTATGCAATTATTTGAGGAGATTTAACAGTAACTAAAATAAAAAGTAATAATTGTGTATTTCATGGAAATACTGCATTTAAAAAAAAAACAGCTTTTGTATTGTATTAGGGCAGATTTAGGCAAAAGCTGGATTTTTTTCCAGAGATACTCAGATACCTCACTTTGGTGGACCTAAGTGAGAGCTGTGTATTCTGCATTCACATCCTGAGATAATAGTTCTTACAGGGGAAGAGGAGCTGAAAACATACATATAAATGTAGAACAGTTGTTAGTTGCACCCACAATTTACTCCTCCAAAGTCACACCTTGTTTTTTAATAGGATACCCTATGGCTTTGTTGAATGCTTTCTCAGAGACTATTTTGTCTCACAAGGCCCTAAGCTTGGCAAATATAGTGCTTTATTTTAAATGAAAAGCCACAAGCCATTTTCAGGGCAGAGGGTTTATGTTATTTTAAGCATGAATGGCAAAGACATAATTAAAAAGTGCTTTTTAAGCTCTGGCAGAGTTTTTTTTAATGAAGTAGTTGGAAATTACTGAAGTTTAATATAAAGTTTTCTGACTTTTTTTGAGGGAGAGGTGGTGTAGGTTGTCACAGCTTAATAGGCAATGCACTACCTCTTGGATTTGTGTGGAAAAGAAAACAGGGCAAAGGAAATCAACACGTGGATGTCGAGTAACAGAGGAGGCTCAACTTTTTTTTTTTAACCCATAATAGTTTGTATGAGCTTTGTGCATGATGAAATCATGGCAGGATTTATTATTTCAGTAAATAATTATGTCTAATGTACTATATTGTTAAATAATTTTCCCCAAGTCTTAGGACAGCCAATCATATTCTCAGCTTTAATACCTATTCCTTGGAAAGTAATTAAGTTTTAATTATACAGGTATGATCTCATTTCTGAAGAGTGGCTTCCACTGAACAGCTCTGTGAACTCAGTAGAGATGAGATATGGTCATTCGTTGGCATTGCACAAGGTAAGTTCAGTGCTCCAGACTCACTTCTCAGCTGATTTCCCCTTTTTCTCTCCTGTTTCCCACTCCTTATGCCAGATCAGCCTTGCTTTGGGAGAAGTGTTCCTCATTCAGAGGCTTGTCCATGCTTAGCCCAGGCTGTACCCTTGTCCTCCAGGGAATCCTTGGGTGGCTGTCCTAGGAAGTCTGTAGAGTCTCTGCCTGTGTGGTCCTTCTTTCCCCCTTTTCCAGAGATTTTGAAGATGACTTTTTGAGGCCAGTGAGTCCATTATTCCTTCTTGCTGTCTATGCTGACAAGAATGCCTGAGGCTGAGTTTGCTGGAGTTCCTCAGCTGCCTTTTACGTAGATCACATGAATATTTTTATGAGCTCTGTTGTCCAAGACACCAAAGCACAGCTGGAGGATTAGGGATTTTTGTTACTTGCTCTGCAAGTAAATTTGTGAATCTAATGTTCCAGCATCTGACACAGCAAGTGGATTTGACAGTTTTTACCTCCTTTCTCACCTGTGTGCCTTGCTGTGAGTGCAGACCATGTGAGGATATCAGCAGGATGGCAAAGTCTGTGGAAAGGAAATGAGCTGAGCTTTTATTGACATTTGGGTTTTGGAATGTTGTTTAGCTCAAACAGTGCAGGCCTGGGCAAAACTGAATCATAAATGCTCAAAAAACTCCACACACTGTCATTCACAAACAGAGCACTTGAAGAACCTCAAAGCATGGAAATTCATCATGGAATCACAAAGTGGTTTGGGTTGGAAGGGAGCTTAAAGATCATGTAGTCCCAGTCCTCTGCTGCAGGCAGGGACCTTCCACTCTGCCAGGTGGATCCCAACCCCAATGTCCAGCCCTGGAAATTCATAATGGAATCACAAAGTGGTTTGGATTGGAAGGGAGCTTAAAGATCATGTAGTCCCAGTCCTCTGCTGCAGGCAGGGACCTTCCACTCTGCCAGGTGGATCCCAACCCCAATGTCCAGCCTGGCCTTGGGCACTGCCAGGGATCCAGGGGCAGCCCCAGCTGCTCTGGGCACCCTGTGCCAGGGCCTCACACCCTCCCAGGGAACAATTCCTAATTCCCAAGATCCCATCCATCCCTGCCCTGTGGCAGTGGGAGCCATTCCCTGTGTCCCGTCTCTGCCGGCCTTGTCCCCAGTCCCTCTCCAGAGGACTTTATTAAGTAACTTCAGACCAGTAGCTTCATTGCTTACCAGCTGTTTCCTAAATGCTGCACTCCTTGCCCTTCTGTGCCTTCTTTCAGGATAACATCTACATGTACGGCGGTAAGCTGGATGCCACGGGGAATGTGAGCAGCCAGCTGTGGGTGTTCCACATCCCCAGGCAGAGCTGGGCTGTGCTGGCACCCCGGGCCAAGGAGCAGTATGCTGTGGTGGGGCACTCTGCCCACATGGTCACCCTGCAGGACAACAGCACCGTCATGCTGGTGCTCTTCGGGCACTGCCCCCTCTACGGCTACATCAGCAACGTCCAGGAGTACAACCTGGGTGAGTGAGCGAGGGAGGGAGGGAGTGCAGCCTTCTGCTGGGCCCTGCCAGGGTAGCAGCTGGTTTGGAAGTTATTTAAACGACTTGTGTTCACATAGGAAAACACAGGCAAATGTGTGCTCCTCCTCCTGTTCGTATGTACAAGTTAACCTAACAGATTTATATAACCCAATGAGCAGGCAGCCATGTGCCTCCAGCTTTATACACAGTGTTAGGTCCCACAGATATAAAGCTGTAATTGAGAGGTAAAGCAGGACAACTCTGGAGCAATTTAGATTAGTTTTCTTCTTTCCCTCTGGTAAAACAAACACTTTTGAAATTATTTTTTAATTCTGCAATATAATAATGGCTATAATAATTCAGACCAAATACCTTCTTAACCTGACACACATGTCCCCAGCAGCAGATGCTGTGGGAAACAGGTGCTGAATTTCTGGATTCCCATATCCCTGATAGGATTTGACCCCCATATCCTGGGATAGTCCAGACTCTGATTTTAAGATCCAGAGATTTCTAGTATAACCCCTGGAGAAGCACAGGAAGCTTTCCAGGCAAACTGAACTCATACCTAGCTCAGAAATGGAGGCACATTCCTGGCTCCACGGACCATGTCGGGTTCGTAGCTAGGCACAGGAAGTTCACAACAGGAGTGTGCTGGTTATTCTCAGGAGTAGTGGCCCTGTCTGCATTTCGCACCTGCTGCTCTTGCCCTCCAGTCAGGCTGATCCAGAACCTGGTTCTCTGGAATCCATGTGAGCGACATTTCTTCCTCTCATAGAAATCCAGAGAGAACCAGGGCCTGTGGGGCAGTGATTTGTTTTTGCCATGTGTGATCCTGCAGACTGTTCACTTCCTTTGCCTTTGGTGTGCCTGCTCTGGCCCACAATTGGGAAGCTTGTATAGGGTTTCATTCAGCACTTACTACAGAGATTGGTGCGTATTGTGGTATTTTTATTTCAGTTGCCATCATAATATGTCTAAAGTGCTTCAGACCAACATTATTTTAGTGAGTGAGATATAGGATCATGAATAATATTAGTTTTTAACTGCAGTGTTCTTCACAGTCAGACTTGACTTCAGTGCTGTCTGGCTTTATATATATATTTATATATAGATAAAAAGTAAAAGTGCTCTTGAGTCCCATTCCAAATCAAGTCACAGTCCTGGCATTTTCATGTCATTGAAATGCAGTCTATTATTTTTCTGCTTTTTATTTCTCATTTACTTAGCTTGTCTGCAAAATGTAAAAAATGACTGTGGAGGAGCTATTTCTGCTCTAATTAAAAATACCTGGCAATGCTTCTTGACAACAGACTTTTTGAAGGGGAATATTTTTGGATATGAAGTGATAGAGGCAGTGTCTAGATCTGAGTCAGGGGAATCCCAATTTATTTCACTATGTTGTTGATGAGTTATTAATGGACAGAAATGAACCATGTTTTGTCACTTATATTTTTCAGTGACAAATACCTGGAGCATCTTGCAGACGAGCGGAGCTCTGGTGCAAGGAGGATATGGTCACAGCAGTGTTTATGATCCAAGTACAAGATCAATCTATATCCATGGGGGTTACAAAGCATTTAGTGCCAACAAGTACAGGCTGGCAGATGATTTGTACAAATATGAAGTGGATTCTCGCATGTGGTAAGTGGTTCTTCTTCTGTCTTTTTCCTGTTTACTGCCCTGTCAGTTTTGTTTGTAGTGAACAAGAGGATGGGTATTTGATGAGGGTACAGTGGTTTATATCTACCTGAATTCAGGATAGATGCTGTGCTCTTGGATCTCTTGTTTTTATGTCCCCTTATGAATAGGGAATGATATAATCAATATAATCAAGGCTGTGAAGAAGCCAAGAAATCCATTTTAATTTATTGTTTGATTCATCAAAAATATTTGATGTTTTTTTCTTGCTAGCCATACAGCCTGTGTATGTTACTGCAGTCAAGTGAGTGATAATCCATTCTGCAGTTAAGACCGTAAAAGAATTTCTATTATAACCCTGTTTTCTTCTGGCTGTGTAACTGCTTGAAATGTTCATTTCTTAAGCTGAAATCTTCTGTGATTTGTTCCTGCCCAAAGGTGACTTTTATTAAAAAGCTATAGCCACACTTCACAGCTTGGAGCAACAGAGGTGAAATACATTTTCCTTAATTCTGTGTTTTTCTTAATGTTGATTCTAAAGGCTCCTGACTATCTTTTGGGTTTACACATGTAAATTTGAGTCACTACATCACTTATTGGGTGTTAAAATAGCTTGTGTTTCTGCAACATCTGTTTGTGAGTCTGTACTGATGAGGAAGGTAATGAGTGACTAATTTTTCCAGTCCCCCTCCTTCCCACTTGGTTGTATACACAGAAATAACCCCACTTCCTCTCTGGATTAATTTGATCTTCCACTTCAGCCGTGAAGTGGACAAATCTGGCTGAGTAGGCAGAAACTTAACAAATGTGACATTGTTCTTCCAAACTCCTGCAGCACCAGTTTTCTTTTGTCACATTTGTTTTGTCGGTCTGGCAAGCCCTGTTGAACAAGTGGAGAGTGTAGGACTGTCTGTTCATCTTTATCACTGGGGTTTTTTGTCATTGACTCTTTCTTTTATTCTTGAGTGATTTAGGCCCTCTCTTCCTTTTTAAATCTCATGAGCTTCCCGTGGGCCCTCTTCTTGAGCTCCTCCAGGTCCCTCTGGAACAAATCCTCGATGTCCCCTGGTGGAAGGGACCTTAAAACTCGACACATTCCAGCGCTGCCATGGCAGGGACAGCTCCCACTGTCCCAGGCTGCTCCAGCCCCAATGTCCAACCTGGTCTTGGGCACTGCCAGGGATCCAGGGCAGCCACAGCTGCTCTGGGAATTCCAGCCCAGCCCCTGCCCACCCTCCCAGCCAGGAATTCCTTGCCAAGATCCCAGCCCAATCTGCCCTTTGCCAGTGGGAGCCATTCCCTGTGTGCTGTCCCTGCAGGCCTTGTCCCCAGTCCCTCTGCAGCTCTCCTGGAGCCCCTCCAGGCCCTGCCAGGGGCTCTGAGCTCCGCCTGGAGCCTTCCCTTCTCCAGGGAACATTCCCAGCTCTCCAGTGTCCCCTCTTTCAACACAAATCCTCTCAGAAAAATAGGAAAATCCTCCAAAAAACGACCCTCTGTGTTCAGTGCCATCAATCCTGATTGAAATTGAGATCAGTGGTGAGTTTGATTAGTGCTTCCCATGATTTAGTCACCGATGAGCCAGCATTTTGTGCAGGTATTAACCTGTAGGGCTCCATTTTCAGAAGCTGTATAGATTTCCTTAAAATAGAATTTTTATTTGTGAGCAGAGATGCTGCCCAGTGTGAAAGACTTCTTTGTGTTTCTATAAAAACAGAGTTACTACAAAATATTGGAGTCTTTCCAAGCTGACTATGTTCAAAAGATAAGTGTGGAAACTTGAGAATCCCTAGGGAAAGAATTGATGATTTGAAAATCCACAGCTTTGGAAAGAGGCTCTCATAGGTATATTTCTCCTATAAATTGGCAAAGCAAATGGAAAGATGAGAATGAAAATGCAGGTGGAATTGAACAATGTGGAATGTAATTGTTAATCAGCTCATTAGGAAAAGTAGTTAGATACTATCCTCACCCTCAAAGTGTTCTTCAGCTTGGATTTATGGAGTGTTTTGCCTTTGCCAGGTACTTAGCAGTCTCATTAATAGATACATTCTTATTTCTGAAGGACTATTCTCAAAGACAGCCGATTTTTCCGCTACTTGCACACAGCTGTGATAGTGAGTGGGACCATGCTGGTGTTTGGAGGAAACACTCACAATGACACCTCCATGAGCCACGGAGCCAAGTGCTTCTCTTCGGATTTCATGGCCTATGATATTGGTAAGTTCTTGCAGAAATAATAACAACCCCCCAAATACTTGGCTGTTCCCAGGGAGCTGTCCTCAGTTTGTCTCCAGAATGCTGGTTTATGGTGGATATGTTATCCCAATGCTGCTGCGCACAGGGATCTGCAATCAGGAGAAGCTCATAACCTTGCTACAGAATTCCAAGCACATGAGGTGCAGTGATTTCCAATTACAGACAGCAGCAATTCCTTTGTTAACAGTTTGTACACAGCCTTGGGCATTAAAAATTAGGTTTTAAACTGCATATTGTTACAGAATCATAAAACCATAGAGTCATTGAGGTTGGAAAAAAACTTTAAGGTCACCAAGTCCAACTGGCAGCCCAGCATCACCACCATTTTCACCACCAAGCCATATCCTCAAGTGCCACATCCACATGTTTTTGAACACTTCCAGAGATGGTGATTCCATCACTGCCCTAAGCAGCTTGTTCCAGTGTTTTGCAACCCTTTGCATGAAAAAATACTTCCCAATATCTAATCTGCATCTTCCCTGGCCCAGCTTGAGGCTGTTTCCTGTCCTGCTATCTCAGCCATTAATCTGTTCTGATATTTTGAGTGTGTTTTAATCTATGGTTGATCAAAAATTCAAGTTCTTAGGACAGTTACAAGCACTAGACCCTGCTGAAACTCCACCTGTACAGTGCACTGCTTTATTCAATCATAAAGCCAAATTATTAGGTTGGACTTGCTGAGTTTGAGTAACCAGGAGAGGGCAGCATTTATTTGTGGATTTTGATTCCAGAGACTGAGTTTCAGAAGAGCAAGGAAAGAAGAGGTGAAATTACATAAAAGAAGGTACATACACACGCAGATAATTCACACTGGGGAAAAATGCCACTCTGTACTCTGACATTCACCTTCTGCTCTCAGAATGCCCTAAATGTGGCTTCCCTGAAATAATCCTGTAAACCTGAAATCTCCAAGTGAATGTCCACCAAGATCTTACTCCTGGTTAATGAGAGGAAAATGCAAGTGAATACTTTGGGCCATCAGGGTTTGATGTCCTTGTGCCCTTTTGCTCTCTGTTATAGCAGCCATTCCATTCTGCCTCCTGTGATTTGTAGTTACATCCTTTGGGAATCTTGGTGTGCTCCTAGCTAGCTTTATTTTGATATTTTATTTTTTTTTAATTGAGGAGTTAAAATGAGGTGTTTGACCAGGTTGGATCGGGCTTGGACCAGCCTGATCTAGTGGAAAGTAGTTTCTGCCCATGGTTCAGAGCTGAAATGAGATTGTTTTAAGGTACCCATCCAGCCCAGAGTATTTTGGCATTCTGTGGCAGTCATAAACAGTTTGATTTTTTTTTTTTTAACTTTGGTAGCAACAGTGATAGATTTTTCTTTCTGCATTCTGTTATCTGCCCTGACCTATTGAACTTTCTGTCAGGTGTAAAACACAAATCGCATTAATTTGACAAAACATGCCAGTATTGATGTTCAAGTTTAGGTAACATGTTACATGACACGAGTGATGTAGTCAGCGTGCCCAGTTGTTACCAGATATACACTGATGTGTGGAGCTTACATTGGCTTTACCTTTTTGGTGGGTGAGAGGTGTTCTTGAGTCCCCTCATTCCTTAGAGAAGAGATTCTCAGCCTGAAAAGAGCAGCTCTTTTTTTTTTTTTTTTTTTCAGAAATGAGACCACTTCCCTTTTCATTTCAGGAGCCATTGTGCATGATTTCCCTTATCCCATGTGACTAGGAATGCAGTAGGGTGGTGGCTCATCATTTGTGTCACAGCAGAAACACCTTTTCAGTGGTTCTTCATGCATGATCTCTGCAGTAATTAATTACCCTGGTCGTGCTCCTGTTGGTCTCCATGGGAATAAGCCCATATAAACCCCTGTTATCTATCCCTCAGTGTTCCCAAGGCATGAGAAAACCAAGCAAGGTCAGTTGATACTGAGAGCCTTCAGTGAAGAGGCTTAATAATTGTCTTTAATCCCTGCTTTTATAGTATGCTGTCTGGCTGGTTTACTTATTTTTTACACCTTGTTGATTAGTCATCATGATTGATTAATGGTCACAGTGATGGTTGGAAGACTGGGGAGAAGTGGAATTAAACCCAGTCTGAAACAAATGCTTCAAACCCAGGTCTTCTCCTTAACCTTTGTCATTAAAGCTTATTTTGGTAGTAATTAATTTTATTTACATCATCAATTTTTTCTGATTTTCCCTCCTCAAATTTCCAAGTAATCAGAGCACATGCACTGAGTATTGGGAGGACATAAAACCTTTTTTCTCTGTAGGGCAATACTAACAGCTTGCACTGAGATGTGTGCTGGGGTTGAGCAGTAAAAATTCTTGAATGCTTCTTGTCCTTTATTCTCTACTTGACCAGCTTGGGGCATATCCAGTCCAAATTGTCCAGGTACTGCCTAGTTTGGGAAGGCTTCAGGATAACAATCCAGCTGTGTGCATGTGTTATTCCCCATCCTCAGGACAAGCCTTTGGATTGTTGACATTTGGGTTGGGTGAGCACTTGGGCAGAGCTGTCTCTCAGTATTTTCCCTATTTTCTGCAAACTGAAATGGCCAATTAGCTCTTCCTATCTCCAAAATTGGTCTCTCTGGCCTTTGTCAAAGTTTCCTGCTCTGCAGCAGCTTTGTGTGGAAAAATGCCTCACTTAATCCTCCACCTGCTACTTATGTAAAGGTGCTGCTTTTAAATTAATCTTTTCTCCCCACAGAAGAGAAACTGAAACTCTTCTGTTTACCCCATGAAAATTCTGATGACAAGCACAGGGAGAGGCTGGATGTTTTTGTAGCTGATATGTTCTGTTTGAACAGTGTGTTTAATAAATCCCAGCATTGTAAGTTTTAGGTTAAGTCAGGAAGGAGAAAATTCTTTGTAGTCTCAGAATTACTTGGTTTCTCCAATATTTGATCTCTGGTTAAAAATGGCAAAGAAGCTTAGAAAACAATATTCCAGGCGTTCTATTAATCTAGAAAAACATGTTTCTTGGCCTCACATAACACACAACTTGATGGCTAAAAATTTGCAAATTGCTGCCAAATTTTTCTGAAGTCTTCCATTAAAAAATTGGAACTGTCATGCTTGGCTTGGGGGCAGTGCTGGGCTAGGTGAAATTCTTTGAAAATTGAGCAAATGGCATATAAAAATAAATTCCAAATCACGATTTATCAAAGTAGTAAATCTGTGTGTTCTGTCTTTTCTTTATCAGCGTTCTTGAACAAAATTGCTCTGCATCTGTTGTTTTACCCAACAATTCTTCAATTCAATTTAGTAACAAATTAAACCTTTGTTTTTCTTTGCCCTTTCAGTTTATGCATGGACTAGTTTGGTTTGTGGGCTTTTTTTTTTTCCAGAGGGTCAGTCCACTATGCAATGGTTTAATCTCATATTAAAGAGTCTTAGGAGTATTTGAGGACCCTGTAGATCTTTACAGAAGATTGACTTTTCTGTCTTAATTGCATAAATTGCATTCAAGTGCCTCTGGGATATTGGCCCCCAAGGTGATCCATTCCCTTTATGAAGTTTAAGTGTTATGAATTGGACTGACTTTTCCTACTTCTTTTCCTTTGCTCAGTGGGTTAGATGATTCTTAATTTGTTTTTTTCTCCCATGCTGCCCAAAGAAAAAATTACCTGGGAAACCAAGTAAAAAATGAAGCAAAACTTATAAATTTTATGCTAATAGAAAAAAATGGAATAATCTAACATTGTATTAAAAGAGAAAAACAGCCACAAATCTTTAAGCTACGATGAGTAAAAAATATTTTTAAAAACGTGGATATCTGCCCTCTAGGAACATAATGTCAATTGAAAAAGTAAAAAAAGATAAGCCTCTGTTCTCAGTGATACTGGTTTGGGGCAAAACTGCAAATAATTAATGTATAAACAGATAAAACCAGAACTTGTTACATGGTAAAAAATCCTGCTAGTAAAGGAGGAAAAACAGCTGCTTCTTGTCCTGTTCCCTGGAGCAGAGCCCGACCCCCCGGCTGTCCCCTCCTGGCAGGAGCTGTGCAGAGCCACAAGGGCCCCCTGAGCCTCCTGTGCTCCAGGCTGAGCCCCTTCCCAGCTCCTCAGCAATTCTCCAGCCCCTTCCCAGCTCTGTTCTCTGCCCTGGCCATGCTCCAGCCCCTCAGGGCGTTTGCTGAAGGATCTCAGGTACCTGGGGATCTCTCAGGAGGAAGCTGCTGTGTGAGTTGTCTTGTTCATTGTCCAGAGAAACATTTCTGAAATTGTTTTTGTCACTTGCAGCCTGTGATCGATGGTCTGTGTTGCCTCGCCCGGCTCTGCACCACGATGTCAACAGGTTTGGGCACTCTGCTGTGCTGTACAACAGGTAAGGGCACGGGTGTTCTGTAGGGAATGGGCACAAGTAGATGAAGAACTGCAGCATGGGCTGAGGGTCTGACACAAACCTCCTTGTCCATGGAGCTTTGGGCTGCCCCATCCCTGGAAGGGTCCCAGGCCAGGTTGGATGGGGTTTGGAGTAGCCTGGTCTAGTGGAAGGTGTCCCTGCCCATGGCAGGAACTGGAATGAGGTGGGATTTAAGGTTCCTTCCTCCCCAAACCATCCGTGAATCTCTGAAAGTTTTCAGGTCTTCACTCTTGTAATGTCTTCAGTATTCACCTGTTCCCATCAGCCCTTCTTTACTGGGCTAAACTGTCTCAGCTCATTTAGTTTTTTCAGTAATTAGATTTTTTGTCATTATTTTTATATATGTTTCTATTTTTTAGTTACTTAATTGTGCATTTCAATATATTTCACACTTCTTTCTTAGCTGCACTGACAACATTTATTTCCAAGTCTGAATTTGCCTCATGCTTTCTAAAATTTGTTCATGTTTCACTTTACCCACCTTATCCTATGAGGCTGCTCTTCCCCAGGCACAATGATGTTCAGTATTTGGGTGAAATCTTAGGCTTAACTAAGTCTAAGTCAGAGATATCACTACAGTCTGTAAGGTGAGATTTTCAGCCAAAATCTCACCTTACAGACTGTAGTGATATCCCTGCTTCCAGATGAACAGCTGTTACTAGATCAGTGCAACCAAGTTTGAGAAATTTATTTCATAGGAATTCTAATATAGAATGAAAATCATAATAAAAATACTTATGATTCAACCAGAACTTCTCTTTTCAGCTGCCTTGGCCCTTCTTCACCTTATTTTTAAAGGTGCATTGACAGACACCGATGCACAGAGAATTTTTGTGTGACATTTTTGTGTAACTGTTAAAATTTAATGTTTTGTTTGGTGCAGCTGGGATACTGAAGGAGGTTTGAAATCCCCCACTCCTCTCCATACAAAATATTATTTGTTTGTGGGTTGTTTTGGGTTTTTTAGTTGACACAATGACTCTGCTCAGTTGTTGCCAGCCATGCAAAGTGTGGTTTTCTTACAGAGGAGCAGAGAGGGTGGCAGCAACAAATTGTTTTGTCATAGTTTCTGAACTCCTATTTAATGCTATGGTACCATCTCCCCAATTTGTGGCCTTCCTCCATGTCTTGCCAGTGTAGATTACAGGAGGATCCCACATTTTTACAGCATTTTATGTATAATCATCTTGATCAGGTCCCTTCAAAGTTTTGATTGGAGGGGAAGATTGGTTGATGACCTTGAACAGCTTTGACTTTGTGTTGAGTCTTGCTGGCTTCTCTGAAACAGTGAAATTTGTCTGACCTTTTCTTTAGTACCTCCCTTAACCAAGAGCTATTTATTTGGATTTATATATGCTGGCATGTAATAAAACACTTCTCTCAGACCCTTAAATCCCATTTACTGGAGCAGTGCTCTGTCCATGAAAACAGCTGTGAGTTTTTCTCTCTTTGCTTCCATGTTGTCCAGCACCATGTATGTGTTTGGAGGCTTCAACAGCCTCCTCCTGAGCGACATCCTGAAGTTCACACCTGAGAGATGTGAGGCTTTTGGCAACAAGACATCCTGCCTGGGGGCTGGCCCTGGTGTCAGATGTGTGTGGGCTCCCCACCCTCCCCGCTGCATCCCCTGGGAAAATGCAACACTGGACCAGCAGCAAAAGGTCCTTGAAGACTGTCCTCCCAAGCCAGGTATGCATCCCCTTCTTTCTGTTCCCTTTTCTGAAAGGTGTGCAGGCTTTTTCCCCTTCCAAATTCCTCCCATGTTAACTGTGTGCCATTCCAAGGTCAGGTTTTACACGGGGGGCTGTGGTTGGGCTTCCATGTGTCCTGGGAGCCCTTCCTCTGGCCAAGGGTCAAGGAGACGTGTTTCTGTCTCCTGCTTCTGAAGCTGCTTGTTCATGAGATCTTTTTCCTACCCTGCTTCTTGGACTTACTTTTCTATCCCTAACAAGCATCCCTATCCAGGGACCAGACCTGGACCATCATTCTGTAAATGTTTGCTCCAAGAACTGACCTTGTGAGAGCCAAGAATTGGCTGAAGAGCACCAAGGGGCAAGGAAGGGCATCTGGATCTGGTGGAGTTATCCCGTACTCTTCAAAAGAGACAGCAGGAATACTGCTTTAGGAAAAGTTACTTTGTTTTTTTGGCAGGAGGCTGGTACCAGATGATCTTTAAGGTCCCTTCCAACCCCCAAACCATTCTGTGATTCTGTGTATAGAGGCAGATAAAATGAATTAATGTTTTAAGGTCTGATTCCTTGTTTCCCCTTAGGATAATTTTAAACAACTTTATCCTGATACATTCATTATACAGCCCTTGATTCTGTAACAGATATGCAGCCTTTAATTATTTAATAGAAACTGATGTAAGGGGACATTGCCTTGCTGGGCTCCCAATGCACAGTAAATTTTCACAAAACACAGGCAATAAATAATTAGAAAGATGAATGAAAAGTTCAAGCTTCACATGACAATGCTCCACTTGGAAGCCAGGCTTGCAGGACGAGGGGCCTGTGCTGGGGGATGGCCACTGTCCCTATGGATATCCTCTGGCATCCTTTCCCTGGGCATTAACGTGTCTTAGTTCATGTGCTTCCACGTCTTGGTGCATTATTTTCTGGTGGTGTGTTTTAGGGCTCCTTGGGCACTAAAAATGATTGCTGCTGTAAATAAAAGCAATTTTCTATCAGTTCAAACACATGAAAGTACCTGATTTTAGTTGCTAACAGAAAATCTACAGGCACTGCTATTTGGTTGTGTCTTTTGCTGTAAATAATCAAGTTCTTAGAGCTCTGTCAGGAAATGCCTGTTTTTGGTCATGCAGGTTTTTTTCTTTAATAGCTGTAGACAGTGAAAAATGTGATCAGATTACAGACTGCTACAGCTGCACAGCCAACACAAACAGCTGTCAGTGGTGTTCTGACCAGTGTATCCCAGCACACAACAACTGCACAGAGGAACAGGTAATGGCTCTTAACACTTCCCTAGTTTAAATTTACCCTTTGTAAAAGCAAATGTCCATGTTTCCATCTGTCAGTGTCATGATCCCTGTTTTGTTATTCCCAGTGCATATCTAGCTCAAAAGTGCTACATGTTTGGATTTTTTCAATTTGATCCAAGGGTTTTGCTTGGTATTTTACAATGAATTTAGGAGGATGGCTGTGGGCAGGTGAAGAGGTGGAGGTTTCACCGTGGTATGATTATTCATTAATCACATTTTGGGTTTGATATCAATAGGGCTTTCCCTAGAAAAAACAAAATAGCCCTCTTGTAAAAGCTTTAGCACAGAAAACGTGTCAGGTGGTGCTTTGGGGGAATAATTTGGATAACCAGGCTAGGCTGTACCAAGTTCCACAGCTTTTGGATATATAAATTGCTTTGTAGAGCTGGACTGTGATATTTAGTGTTGTAATCATGGCTGTTATAAACCCACATGGCTGGATATCAGAAAAAGTCTCACCTGTGCTATTTATTTTAGGTTCCTGTTACTCTCTATGACAATTGTCCTAAGGATAATCCTGCCTATTACTGTAACAAAAAGACAAGTTGTAAAAGCTGTGCCATGGATCAAAACTGTCAATGGGAACCTAGGAATCAGGAGTGCATTGCTTTGCCAGGTAGGTACTGGTGGCATAAACCAAATTCACCCACTCCAAAAGTTGTTGCAAGTTTTTAAAAATTTTTGTTGGTTTTAACCCCAAATCTGTATTTTTAGTGTTAAGATGGAGCAAATAGTGTTGTTTAATCATAACAGCTTTGGTATGAAATTTAATTTGTAGTAAATCCAGCTACTCTGCTGAAATACTTTTCATTCCCAGTTGTCTGAAGAGGACTATGATCACTCGTATAATTATTAAGCTGTATGTCATCTCTCCCTTTTCATGTGATAAAAGGTGTTGATAATAGGCTTCTGCAAGATATTAGATTTAATAATGCATGCTATTTAATTTGGGAACTAAAATTGTGCAAAACCATTATGGCACATACTGGACCAATGAGGCAAGTAAGACCTGAAGTGTTTAAGGAGAATTCTCCTATTAGAGTGTTTCCAGTGGAGCTCACAGGAGTTGGTTATTAGGTCTCTTGCAGTAATTTTTTTTTTTTTTAATCCCAGTGACTGGGAGAAAAATACAGGATTTTCAGTGATTAACATTTGTAGGTAATAAAATAGAGAGAAAGGGGAGAAAACCCTTTAGACAGGACATTTTAATGGACATGGAAGGCCTTCCCCTAGGAACGGGTAGGTCTGGACATGTCCAGGTCTGGTGTTTGCCAGTCTGCAACAGTTTAAAATTGAAGAAACTTTGAAGAAGAGCAATGAAAATGAGAAAAAACATATTTTAGTGTGATAGATAAAGAGCTTGGTCTGTTTTATTTGATGTAGAAAAGGGAATGATCTCATCGTATGTGTAAAAAGCTCATGTGAAAAATTGACACCTGAGAGCTTTTCCATCTGTAAGTCTGAATTTACATTGGAAATGCCCATCAGGGTTTTTTCGGTAAGGGAAATAATTAATCACAAAGTGTAAGGAGTTCTTCAGTAGTGGTGTTGTGCTCCAGTTGAAGTAGGGATTAATCCTGGAAGTTGGTGCTGTGGACAGGATTAGCACAACAACCCTCTCCTGCCAAAAGGTCCCCTGATAACTGTGGATGAGTGGGTGGCTTCAAGACATCAACAAAATGCAAATTTGGGGTTTTTTCCCTCTTTCTCATGCAACAATTTTATTATTCGACATTGTAATAAGCGCTTTGATTATGTACAAATGCTGATGTCAGCTCCCCTAAACAGATTTCCTTCTCCTCCAATATTGTTATGTATCAACACTTCTCAGCACACCTCTAGGTCATACTGGCTTGGAATGGGGCTGTGGGTATTTCTTAGTGGCAGGGTTCATAGCATCATTAAGCCTGGAAAATACCTCCGAGATCATCACCATCAACCTCTGTCCCAGCCTCACCATGGCCCTAAGCCACAGCACTAAGGGCCATGTCTGCTCATTTTCTGAACACTTCCAGGGGTGGGGACTTCGCCACTGACCTGGGCAGCCCCTTCCAATGCTTGGCAACTCCTTCAGGGAAGAAATTTTTCCTATTATGCGACCTAAACATCTCCTAGCACAACTTAAGGGCGTTTCCCCTCCTCCCTGGGAGCAGAGCCCAACGCCATCCCGGCTGTCCCCTCCTGGCAGGAGCTGTGCAGAGCCACAAGGGCCCCCTGAGCCTCCTGTGCTCCAGGCTGAGCCCCTTCCCAGCTCCTCAGGAATTCTCCAGCCCCTTCCCAGCTCCCTCAGCAATTCTCCAGCCCCTTCCCAGCTCCCTCAGCAATTCTCCAGCCCCTTCCCAGCTCTGTTCCTGCCCTGGCCACGCTCCAGCCCCTCCAGGGCTCTCCAGCCCTTCCCCAGCCCTGGAGGTGCCCCAGCAGTGCCAGCACAGGGACAGGCACTGCCCTGGCCCTGCTGCCACCCCAGAGCTGGCACAGCCCAGGGGCCACTGGCCCCTTTCCCACCTGGGCCCGTGTTTTTCCATGGTGGTTTCACTACCTTGATTGTTGGGAAGGCCACCTGCGTCTCTGGGTTTAGTTCTTTCCCTTCCTTGTCCCCCAGAAAATATCTGTGGAACAAACTGGCATTTGGTTGGCAACTCCTGCCTGAAGATCACCAACGCCAAGGAGAACTACGATCATGCCAAACTGTCCTGTAGGTCCAACGGTGCTTTATTGGCTTCTCTCACCACCCAGAAAAAGGTGGAATTTGTTCTGAAGGAGCTGCAGAAGATTCAGTCTTCAGTGAGTACTTCTCTTGTCTGTCCCTTGCGTAATAAAGCTGTGGCTTGGAGAAGTCCTTGCTGGAGTATTGTGTGCTCTGTACACAATGGAATTGCCTCTTGACCAAAAGAAACTGATTTTCTTTTGAAATTCAGTGTACCCTCTGGGTGCTTCTGAGCTGCAGTTTTAGAGAATGTAAATGGAAATGCTAAACATAAACATACACTGTGTGTTAGATCACTTTCTGTGCTGGAATCACACCCGCATTTCCCAGGTGGCATACCGGACTGCAGCAGGAGCCTTCTGGTGACCTGTGCACAGTATTTTGTAAATAAAAGCCCCTTTGGGGCACTGGAGATGTTTAATGTAAAGTGTTGAGTTATTTACTCCACTCAGGAAAGCAGCTGTTTAAAATGTCACCTTCTCATTCCACAGAGCTGCTTGCTTATTGGGCATTATTTGGGTGTCATTTAGTGGCAGGTGCTTTTCTGTCAGGCCCAGGGAGAAGTGAATTGGAATTTTTCCCTCTTCATGCATCAATGAAATAAATACATATTTTTTCCAGTCCCTGGGAAGAAGAAGGGAGATGTTCAGGGCATGTTGTGTAGGTGGTGCTACAGCCTTAACAAAGAATGGTGCTGTGCATCTCTTCTAAAATCCTGGATTAGCCTGGAAAGCTGCTGTGGCCTGATGGCACATCAGAATAACAACTCCTGGGTCCCAGAGACCACTGTGGAAAGCATTTAAAAGCATTTTCTCTAGGAAAAATGAGGTTGGAGGCAATAGGATTGCTTTTTTTCAAGAGAGAACACGCTTCAGTACTTAAGAGAAATATTCCCCTATTAAGAACATTCCCTGCCTTGATTCCCTTTGTAATTTTAAAGTTGAGTTTCAACAATTACAGTGTTTTAGAGGGGAGTCAATATAGTCAAGGAAAGGTAGGGTGCAGTTTAAGCAAGATTGTTCATTAAGTCTTTTGTAAAACAAGAAGCCAAGCCTGGGATACTGTAAAAAAATACATGATTCTGACAGCTCCAGGTGTTTCTGGATATTCCAGTAGCTGACTGTATAGTAAATTCCTAAAGAAACATGGTAACCCTTCCCTCATAGTGTTTAAATCTTTACACTGTATAAAAAAAATTGATAATTTACAGGGTTCTTTTTCCACCTACAGAGTCCTTTGAAAAGTGAGCCTAAAGAGACTAGGAGCCTGTTTTAATGGATATTAGGATAGAATGCGTATAAGGTGGGAAAGTATATCCTGAGCTGATCCCAGCGTGGGCAGCAGGGGAGGGAGGACTCTGTCCCTGTGCCCCTCTGTCCCATGTGAGAGCCCACCTGCAGAGCCCCCCGTGCCTGGGCTGGTGGCAGCAGGAAGGTGGGAATTGTGTCCCTGTGCCCCTCAGGTGAGAGCCCACCTGCAGAGCTGCCCCAGCCCTGGGGCCAACAGCACGAGGACGTGGAGCTGCTGCAGAGAGCCCAGAGGAGGCCCCGGAGCTGCTGCAGGGCTGGAGCCCCTCTGCTCTGGAGCCAGGCTGGAGAGCTGGGAATGTTCCCTGGAGAAGGGAAGGCTCCAGGCAGAGCTCAGAGCCCCTGGCAGGGCCTGGAGGGGCTCCAGGAGAGCTGCAGAGGGACTGGGGACAAGGCCTGCAGGGACAGCACACAGGGAATGGCTCCCACTGCCAGGGGGCAGGGGTGGATGGGATCTTGGGAATTAGGAATTGTTCCCTGGCAGGGTGGGCAGGCCCTGGCACAGGTGCCCAGAGCATCTGTGGCTGCCCCTGGATCCCTGGCAGTGCCAAGGCCAGGTTGGACACTGGGGCTTGGATCACTGGTGGCTGTGCTGGGGGAGGCTCTGCTTTGCAGTTGCTCCTTTTTCAAGTAAACTCTTATGTAGATGTGTAGTAATAACAAGAAAATATGTTGGTGTTAGCATGATATGCTTTGTAACCCTGTTGCTGTTGGAAGCTGCAGCTCTAGGGTATAAAAGTGCGTAAAATCAGTTTGAAGTAGGTGATGTTTACTTATTTTAGCAGTAAAACCACATGTTATACCAACAGAGCTCAAATGCTCCTCCCCAATATGAAAGTGTGCCAAAAAATAAATTGCCACTAGAAATAGTTGTCTTATAGGATCTTTATATTGTGAAGTTTGTAGCCAGCAACACTAATTTAGATTTGACCTGCTCCTTTATTTCTAGCCCAAAACTTTGACTCCATGGGTTGGACTGAGGAAAATCAATGTGTCCTATTGGTGCTGGGAAGACATGTCTCCCTTCACCAACACCCTCGTCCAGTGGCTGCCCGATGAACCCAGTGATGCTGGATTTTGTGGATATTTAGCTGAGCCTTCCCAACAGGGACTGAAGGCAGCAACTTGTATCAATGAGGTCAACGGCACTGTGTGTGAAAGGCCAGGTAAAAGCAGCTGTCTGGTTGATTTATATTTCCTGGAAGGTAAAGAGAATGCAATTTATTACATTTTAAACCAGTTGCATCATCACTTTGCCAAAGAAAAATAGTTCTGAATAAGTGTGTTTTACATGTATTTTATGCAGGAAATAGAAATTTTAAAAATGGCTCAACATTTATGCTGTTAACTGTAAAATATTTGAAGTACGTTATTTTAATTATTTTTTTCTTAATTGCATACCTACATGTGACATTTAGGGTAATTATGGCATGGAGCATTCTCCTGTTTCAAAGAAATAAAAAAAATAATAGTAACTTTCTGATTGAATTCCCCTTTTTCTCCTCCCCTGCTATGTAGCCAGAGGAGGATTTTATCAAAGTTTGAAATTAATTGGCCAAGACACTTTGGAGATATGAGAACTTTGAAAAAAACAAGCTATTTGCTTTTGGGAAAAGTCTTCCAGCTTTATTGAAACTGCATATCTTTTCAGATGGCTTGGTCTGTTAATTCTCCATTGTAGCTGATCATTTCTGAATATCAATTAGTCCCTCTTTAAGTATTAGGGAAGTTGGCTGATTAAAAAGAAATTTTAAGTACACTGCACCAGTTGAAATCATTCTTTGCAGAAGAGCAGGATGCAAATCCTGAATGTGGAACCTGAACTCAAAATTCCCTGTATTTTCACTTGCAGCTCTTGGGTTTAAGCTTTGTGCTGGCTTTTATGGTCTGAGAACAGTCACTTGAAGCAAAACTTAAAGCATTGGCTCAGACTACAAACTGCTGAGTTAGTTCAGTGCTTGATTGATGTCTGGAACTGATCAAATGACTTAAAGCATGTGCCTGAGTGCTCATGTAAAGCAGGGCTCTACCCTGCACTTTGCTGGGGAGGGTGACTAAGGAATGCATCAGCAGAACTGCAGAGAAAAGAGACCACTGCTCCATGCCCAGAGCAGCTGGGGCTGCCCTGCATCCCTGGCAGTGCCCAGGGCCGGGTTGGACACAGGGGCTGGAGCAGCTGGGACAGTGGGAGGGCTGGCATGGGACGGATGGTCCTCGCGGTCCGTTCCCAGCGGCAGCGTGGCGCGCTTGTTCTGGCACAGAGCTGATGTTGTCCTCCCGCAGCCAACCACAGCGCCAAGCAGTGCCGCACGCCGTGCGCGCTGCGCGCCGCCTGCGCCGAGTGCACCAGCGGCAGCTCCGAGTGCATGTGGTGCAGCAACATGCAGCAGTGCGTGGACTCCAACGCCTACGTGGCCTCCTTCCCCTACGGGCAGTGCATGGAGTGGTACACCATGAGCAGCTGTCCCCGTGAGTGACCGCGCTGGGCTCGGGGCTGGGGACGGGCTGTGGAGAGCCTGTGGGGTGTGCTGGCCATCCCCGGGATGGAAGGAACGAGGCCAGGCTGGATGGGCCTTGGAGCACCCTGGTCCGGCGGGAGGCTCCTGCCCATGGCGGGGCGTGGAACAGCACGGCCTCTTTCCAGCCCAAAGCATTCTGCAGTTGCCTGGTTATCAAATCCAAATTAGGGTTTACACAAGTGTTTTATTCTGAAGTGTTGTCTAATTACAGACTGTAGTAGGAATTCCTGCCTCATTTTATAGACATTATTTGCTTTTTTGCCCCTTTTAGGTAGATGAGAGCAAACTGCAAAAGCTTTGTGGCTCTTTGGAATAGTGTGTTTTCCTTTCAAACTGGCATAAAAAGGCCTAAAAACTTAAAACAAGTGAAGATGTAGAAATTATTTTATTTATATTGAATTCTTTAGGATTTCCTTTCAAACTGGCAAAAAAGGCCTAAAAACTTAAAACAAGTGAAGATGTAGAAATTATTTTATTTATATTGAATTCTTTAGGAGCTGGGTGTGAGCAGGGGCATCATAAGTAGCTCAAAATGTTGCAAAATAAGAGATGAAGAAAATGAATTTAAGGAACACGAAAGTATGAACTTCCCATATTGCCAGAGGTCAAAAGTTGGAGGAAACATCAGGCAGGAGATGAGTAAGCTAAAATAATGGAAAACAAACTTTTTTTTTTTCTGTTTGAAGGCAAATATTGTCTATTTAAACATCAAAATAGAAAGTCTGCTTATCTTGCAACACTAAGAATCCAGAAAATATTTTTCAAGATGGTCTGGGGAAAGAAATAGAAAAAATTTTTGTATGCAAAGAGTTTGTCACCCTAAAATCCAATTCCATTACAGAAAGGAGGGGCTAAAGGGTAGAATTTTATTCTCTTTATTTGTATTCTATGCTTTTTGCCTCAGATAAATACTTGAAATAATAGCATGTGATACTGAAACATGGTAGGAAGAGGCTCCAAGTGACTAAACTCTCTGGTTTTTAGCCTTTGCTTCCAGATGGCTCATTTGATCATCCAATCTATTTTAAATAAATCAGAGATGTTTTGTAGAGGGAACATTAACCTCCGGTGTTAGAGGGTGGCGTGTAATGGTTCGAAAAACCTCTGTCTGTATTGTGCTGTTTTGTAACTCATTGACTATTGGAACCTTTGTTAATAGTTATCTTAGATTCAGGAATAAATATGCTGATAGGAATGAACATGTTGCTGTGAATATCAGAATAAATATTTCTAGATTTGAGGAGATAAATATTTTGATGAGATAAAAATATAGTTCTAGAATACATTCTGCATTTTTTGTTGCCTATGTTTGAGACAGTGATTTATTCCAGAATGTTGTATCTTGGTTTGTTTTTTTGCAGCTGAAAACTGCTCAGGCTACTGCACGTGTGCTCAGTGCCTGGAGCAGCCGGGCTGTGGGTGGTGCACGGATCCCAGCAACACCGGCAAGGGCAAGTGCCTTGAGGGCTCTTACCGGGGCCCCGTCAGGATGCCGACCCCATCCACGCCAGGGAAACACAGCTTGGAGCCTGTTCTCAATGTCAGCCTGTGTCCTGTGGAGAACAGCTACAACTGGTCCTTCATCCAGTGTCCAGGTAAACGAGCAGCGCTTAATTGTCCAGTGTTTCCACTGAGTGCAAGGAGAGAGAGTTTCTAAGACTGAGGTGGTGTCTTGTGTCCCCTCCTGTTAATAGAGGGAGGAGAGGAGCATGGAATATAAGTAGGAATTACACACTTGGAGATGGAAGGAACTGTGAAGCAGCTGAGCTGCGCAGGTTTGCTGCATGAAGACATTATTATTTATTACTTGGGAGAAATTTTTCCTTTCCCTACAAATCTTTACTGAGATTTTAACTTTTGTTTCTTTATTTATTTTAAAGCTATTTGAAAGAAATGCAGATCTTCCTTTGAAGGTTGTCTTAAGTGTTAGTAATGATTAGGATGATTTTTAAGTTGTGTTTTTGACACAAAACCAACACTCCCATCCCTGTTCCTTGTAAATCCATCCCACCAGCAGCTTCCAGTCCAATGTGCATGGAATGATTTGCAGTTCAGTTTTCCATGTGTTGCTGTAAATCCCATTTTTTGATATACACCTGTCTTTGGGTCCACGTATCGCTATCAGGAGACGAGAGCCTCTCAGGAAGGTGCACGAAATGGTTTCGTTTGTCCTCTGCACAGTGCAGCCTCCTGAGGGTCTCTGTGAGCTGTATTTGAGCACCAGTGCTCAGAGTTTTCCTGTTTTGCTGTTTTCCACAGCCTGTCAGTGTAACGGGCACAGCAGGTGTGTGAACGAGAGCATTTGTGAGAAGTGTGAGAACCTGACCACGGGCAGGCACTGCGAGACCTGCATCTCGGGCTACTACGGGGACCCCACCAACGGGGGCACGTGCCAGCGTAAGTGCTGCCCGGGCTCCTGCACTGGGCTCCTCCATGGCTTTCACTCTCTGCTCATTCCTCTGCTGTCCTAACGCTAATTATATCCTGATCATTCATGTTTGCTTTCCTGTGGGCAAGGCTCAGTTCTTGTTTCTTCAAATCAAAGACACTCAAACTGCTGACTGGAATTACTTTCTTTGCACGTAAAGATGATTTTATAGCCTCCTTTCTAAACTTGGAATGACCACGGTGAAAAATGTCTGTATTTTAGCATTTGATGATCCTGTTTTTAAAAGAAACAATGTTGATCCAAATGCCTTGAACAAATTTCTGCTTATCTAACTTGCACCTTCTATTCCATTTGGTTAATGTGTTCTGTGTTTATAGTTAAAATTGTCTGCTTCATAAAGGCTTGCCATGTTTCACTGAGGACTTGGCTGGATATCAGTTGAGGATTAGGAGAAGCCTGTTAAAATTGCATTTCAGTTTGTAAAGTGCTTTGGGACTCTTTGGCACAAAGAACCATTTTCAGCTGTGCAAGGTCCAGTTAACAACCTGGGAAAGAGTCTCCTTTGAAAGACCAGTGCATTTAATATTGACAAATATACATGGAAGACTTAGAGTTTTGATCTGCAACCTTGTGGCATAGTTTTGCACTGCTGTGAATTTTTCAGTGCACTGGCATAGGGAGACCAGCTGTAAACCAGAGACCAGCCGTGAGAGGTGCAGATGTGAGGAAAGGTGCTTCTTGCTCCTAAGAGATTTAACTGTAGAGTCATAGAGTTGTTTGGGTTGGAAGGGACCTTAAAGCTCATCTCATTCCAATTCTCTGCCCTGGCAGGGACACCTCCCACTGTCCCAGGTGGATCCCAACCCCAATGTCCAGCCTGGCCCTGGGCACTGCCAGGGATGCATAGTTCTCACCCAGCAGCAACCCCAGGTCCTTCTCCCAGGGCTGCTCTCCAGCCATTCCCCACCCATCCTGTGTTTGTGCTCTGGCTTGCTCCAGCTCCATGCAGGACCTTGCACTTGGCCTTCCATAACTGCATGAGGTTCACACAGTCCCATGTCTCTGGTCTGTCCAGGTCCCCTGGTGTGCTATCCAGGTACTCTTGGAGGCCGTCTAGGTCCGTCTGGATGTTCCCCCTCCCCTGCAGCATGCTGACCTTACCAGTTTGTTGTCACCAGCAAACTCGCTGTGGGTTCCTCAATCCCACTGCCCCTGTCACCAGCAGAGATGTTAAACAGCGCTGGCCTCAGTGAATTATGTTAGTGGAGTATAGTGAGGTGGAATGAGACAGATACGGTGATGGAAAAGGTCGAATAAAAATAACATTGCTCAGAGCAGTGTCAGTACTTCTGTGAAATGAGTGTTGGTGGTTCGTGGCCAGCCTGGAAGAATGAAGTGGAGGTGATTAATGAGTGGACATTGAAGACTTTTTATTGCTTCTTCCAAATGTGGCGACAATCCAGTAGAAAATACTTGGATATTAATTTAGGATGTTTACTGGGAGTAGTGCTGCCTTTTGGATGAACATGAGGGTCAGTAGCTGGAGCCTGGAGTTGTGTTTCAAGAGGAGGGAGATGGTGATGGTTGAGGCTATGAAGAACTTCCCAATGCACAGATGTGAAGAAGGGGGTGAAACACTCACAGGGATACAGCTGCCTCCCTTAGAACAAAGGGATATGGATTTCCAACACACAGCACAGCGACAGGGGTTCAGCAGAGGGGGTGCATCGCTGACACTTGATTTCACAATGTTGTCTGCCAGATGAAATACTGCTGATGCTCATAAACTCATTTCAGGTGAAGATACTTTGAAATGCTCTAAACTTTACTTGAAAGTAGTGAATAAATTGAGGCTGTGTTGCCTGAGAAAATACAGAATTCTACCCTGATCTTTCAGTTTTAATCACTGGATCACAACGTGCCTGTTGGTAGGTGTCGCTTTTCCATGCGTGTGGAAATGGAGAGTAAGTTCCTTTGGACTCTTGTGCATGGGGATTGTCCCAAAATAGTTTGTTGTTGAGATAATGAATGACAGACTGAAATCATCCAGATGCCTGAAAAAGAAATTAGAAAATGTGTAGAGAGATTGTGTAAATAACAGCATTCATTCCTTATCTGATGGAGCCAGTAGCTCATGTCAGAAGTGCTTTGCTGTCAAGTGCTTTGGACCCAGGTTTTTAATTTGCTGTGATTTAACACTGTTTACTGGGAAGGGGAAAGAATGAGGGAAGCAGGAACCTGGGCAGAAAGACTGAGGTGGATTGGGAAAGGGAAAGCAAGAGCAAATCATCCTATCTGATGCAGCCAGGCTGACTTCTGCCTATTAGTCATTTTTGCTTGGTGAAAACCTTTCCAGAGGGGAATTTTTCAGATAAGGATTGGCTGATGGGTAGCAGAGCTAGCTCCTCTTTTCTCCCTTCTCTCAGCTGTGGTCCTTCCATTCTTTCCCATTAATAATGTGCTGATTTCACTTTTTTTGTGCATTTGTGAGCAATACTTAGTGTAGCTGTTTTTAGAGCCCAGGGTCACAGCCATGCTGCAGACTAATGTTGTACACTCCAGCCTGACACAGAAACATCTGTGTGCTCGCACACTCACTGCCTAGTGTGAGTCCTGGGATCATGGCATGGTTTGGGTTGGAAGGGCTCTAATAGGCCATCCTGTTCCACCCCCTGCCATGGCAGGGACACCTCCCACTGCCCCAGGGTGCTCCAAACCCCAGTGGGATACCCAATGGGCACTGCCAGGGATGCAGGGGCAGCCACAGCTGCTCTGGGCACCTGTGCCAGGGCCTGCTGAACCTCCCAGGGAACAATTCCTGCCCAATATCCTGTCTAACCCTGCCCTCTTGTATTTCAATGCCTTCAGTCCTGCATATCCCTGTAAGAAGTCCCAACACAAGATTGTATTACTTGTGTTGAAAATATTTTGTCAAACTGCAGTTATTTCTCTGAAAAAATTGTTTGCATCACATCATATGCCCTGGTGTTGGCAGAGCTAGGCAGATAATACTAAGTGGCAGGTAAATCACTCCTCAGAGGTTGCTTTTAGGAAGTGTCCAAGTAGAGAAGTATTAATCAGGAAGGGCAGGAAATGCAGCACATCAAATGTAAAAATAGCTGCAAGGTGCTTTCTCTGCATTCAGGATTTTTCTGAATTTTCTGGTTAAAGTTTCCCATGAAAATATGCTGGTGGGAGATAAGGAAGTTATTTGCAAGTGAAGGGAAGGCACTATTGTGCCTGAAATCAGATTGCAGCTGTGGCAGTGCTTCTGAACACATCCCTGCAGCCTTCACTGGTGGCCCGTGAGTTGCTGGTGCCATGGACCTGCCTGGTGCCCTCTCCCAGGGCTCATGGGGGCCTGCAGGGCAGCTAAAGCACGTGGCATCGAAGAGCAGGGTTGGGCAGGTGGGTGATGGCGTTGCCATTGGGAAGCTGGCCCATCACAAGCGTGGGAAGGGCAGTAAGAACCCCATGACCATCTCTGAGCCCATGACCCGTGGTTTGTGGAGAAAATAGAAGGAACACCAACAGGTGGAAGGTGGTTCATCATCAGGCTGTTACCACGATTCACAGTCAAAATGCCATTTCCAGTGCTTTTGGGTTTCTGCTCTGTCCTCTGACTCTGGTGGGAAATTGTCCTTTGTAGACTCCAGCGAGCTTGTCTAGAACATTCTATCAATAGTTTGTTTCCAAAGTTTAAAGTTCTCTGAAAAGCCATGAGAAGTTGTCTCTGTGCATATTCCAGTAATTTAGTGAATGATCTCCAGTTACAAGCTTGTAGGAAAGTGGATAAATGAATAGATTCTGTTGTTTTAAATAGAGATATTTGAGTGTTCAGTCTTCTTGATATGGTAAAGAGCAGAGAGGAAAGAAAAATTCATGTTATTGCTCAAGATGCTGCAGTCTGCCTTTAAACAATTTGAAGTTAAAAAATAAGGAGAAACTTCATGTATGTTCATATTGAATATTGATCCAACTTCACTTTGCTTCCCTTGTGCAAAGCATAAGGAAAGAAGTACAAGACATTCTCAATAGTACTAAGGCTTATTTTTCTTTAAGTGGCACTAATGAAAAGAGTGTTTCCTTCACAGAATACAATTATTTTGTTGAATTTTCATTCAGTCTCCTTGTTCCAACAATAGGCCTTTTTGCTTCTTCCTATTTTGCTCTGTGTTGCTGCTAGGAAACCACTCATCCACATCTGAGAAGCGCAATTAAGTGTCCCTGATACAGTATAGCTTCCATTATGTGCCAACAGAAGGAAGATATCAAAAGGATTCCTAAAATAAGGTCCAAGGCTGGCAGAGATATTCAGGATGGGGACTTGATGTCTAAGAATCTGCTGGTACATTGATTGGCATGGCTGCTTAATGAAGAGGAATATGTCTTCTTAACAAGGAGGCTCCGGCCTTTAAAGCATCTTGTTCCCAGCAAGCTCAAGGACCATAAACAAGGGATCTTTGCTTTGTGTAGTTTTTTCCTTATATTGTACACTCTGCTGTGCACAGCTCCAGATGGATGCACCTGCATTGGCAGAAGGACTCCTAAATGGCACCTACCTACATGCCAGGAGTTGTTAAATCTGTTCTTGCAGTGATAGTGAACAAGATGTCAAAGTCAACTGGCTGTGTAGGCTTTGTTCTTACTTGTTGCTTTGGTTTTGGGGGTTTTTGTGAATGTTTCTCCTCTACATCTTTGTAAATAAAGGTCTCAACGTGTGTTAATACAAGCATTTAGCTTAAATCAGGAGCATTTTTATGAAGATCTCCTGTGTGTCCTTGCTGTGCTACCTTGGATCTTGAGCAGACCCAGGTGTATGAGGTGGAGTGTTCTGGGCATGCCCCAAACCTGAAGTAGTTCAGGGCTATGCAGGTTTGCTTCAACCACAACTCAATGACATTTGGCACAAAGTTATCCTAAAATATGTTGGGGAATGCACCCCAGCTAGTCCCAGCATGGACATCATCATCCTATCACCAGATGTTTTCTACTGGTGCTGTTAATAATGACATTATTTCCTCAGTAGGACTGATGAAACATTACTTTTCCCAAGGCCTGTTTAATTATTTCTGGAAAAAGCCCCTGAAATCCCACAGGTTTTGTTTTATTTTCCCAGTTCTTCTTGCAAGAGTTGTGAATTTGGCTGAAATGTGTTAACAAGCCCAAAATTATTTCAAATATTGTCTTTTCCTTCCTAGTTATGGTATCACCCCTGCTGTCTAACAATAGGAGAGGAAGCTAAATGAATTTTTGAGGCTAAAAAGCTGAGTCTAATGATGATTTCATACAAAACACCAGTCCTCAGTAGCCTGTGCTTGCTCTGTTTTGACTCACGGTTCTATTTTCATCTGCCTTCTGTAGCACAAAGAAAGCAAAGAGCACCAAATGGGTTTTCATCTGCACGTTAATTGTTGATGTATCTCAGTTTGACAACTAAAGGACTTAATTGCTGTTGAATTAGTTTCTCTTCTTCACTCAACGTTGCATCTTCTCCCCCTCTGCTCAACAGCTTGCAAGTGCAATGGCCACGCATCCGTCTGCAACACAAACACAGGGAAATGTTTCTGCACAACCAAGGGAATCAAAGGAGACGAGTGTCAGCTGTGAGTTCATTTCCCTTTTTTATTTGCAATAAAAATTGTTCACGTACCACCTTAGACACCCCTCTCCCCCAATTTTTTTAATGATTGTGTTTATGATGTCTCTGCTCATTTCTTCCTCCTGACAGTTGACTGACTGCACTGAGGGTGCAGCCAGCCGTGGGTCCCCTGGGGAATATCATGAACAGGATGATTTCCTGAAGAATTCCAATTTTAAAAACATTTCAACTGGATATATCATGCAGAAGGGATGGGTGAAAAAATCCCCATGCCCCAAACTATACATAGAATCACAGACCAGTTTGGGTTGGAAGGGACCTTAAAGCTCATCTTGCTCCAAACCCGCCTGCCATGGCAGGGCCACCTCTCTCTGCCCCAGGCTGCTCCCAGTGTCCAGCCTGGCCTTGGGCACTGCCAGGGATCCAGGGGCAGCCACAGCTGCTCTGGGAATTGCAGCCCAGCCCCTGCCCACCCTCCCAGGCAGGAATTCCTTGCCAAGATCCCAGCCCAATCTGCCCTTTGCCAGTGGGAGCCATTCCCTGTGTGCTGTCCCTGCAGGCCTTGTCCCCAGTCCCTCTGCAGCTCTCCTGGGGCCCCTCCAGGCCCTGCCAGGGGCTCTGAGCTCTGCCTGGAGCCTTCCCTTCTCCAGGGAACATTCCCAGCTCTCCAGCCTGGCTCCAGAGCAGAGGGGCTCCAGCCCTGCAGCAGCTCTGGGGCCTGCTCTGGGCTCTCTCTGCTTTGCTTTATCCCTCAGTAGCTTCTTTTTAATCGGTACATTTCACCGTCCGTGCTCCCTGATGTTGTTCAGTGGGAGTGTAAATATATCCGAAATGAGCCTTTGACATTCGAGCAGTTTAATGGAGCAGTTTTAGAGCAACAAATTTGCTGGAGGTTTCTCTGTAACATAACAGAAATGCTTTTAGTGTAATGTTAGGGGAAATAATTTAATTCCAAATAATTTCATTGCCAGGTTTATTTTTAAAGCATTGCTCACATGAGTAAACATTTATAGGATAGAACCTGGAATAGCCATAAATGACTAAGCTAATCCAGTTCCATGCATTGTAGAGAGCTAATAAATACCTTCCAAGTGGATGCAGATGTTAATATCCAGAATTTTATATTGCACTTTTACTGCATATGAGTTGGACTTGCAGGGAACATGGCATTTCTTCATCAGCCCAGTCTAGCTCAGACATTCGTCTTTAATTGTGTACTGCTCTCAGCACAGGTTGTGTTTTCTGGTATTTAGTGGCTGGGAATAAGTAGAATGGCAAAAAAAAATCCATTTATTAAAAAAATGTATATTCTTTTTAGGTGTGAAGTAGAAAACAGATATCAGGGAAATCCACTTAAAGGAACGTGTTACTGTGAGTACCCTTGGGATTTTGTTTGGAGATAAAAAATGTGCTTGAAGTTTAAAATTACTTATTTAAAACTTGTTTCAGTTGCCTCAGCATGTGTTTAAAGTATGGGAGATTAAGGAAGGGACTGAAAAATAGCTGTAAAAACCTTCACTTTTCTCAAATACGTTGTTTAAAGAGAATGCAAATACTTTTCTTGATAAGGTCCATGTGATGATTGGATCTTTTGAACAATGTTTTGAATGTTTTTCATGTGACTGAGATGAAATCTGGTCTTTTGGAGAGCACTCTAAACTATATTCCTAACAGGTAAAAAACAAAGTATCCTTAGAATTTTTAGAAATGCAAAATACTGTTTATTTTAAATTCTGGTCCAGGTTAGAATGGATTTCAAAATTGCCACGTTTCCTCTGAAATGAGCAGTTGGATTCCCATGCAGCTCCAGAAGATCCTTTGCCAAGATTCAGATTACCTAATGGAAACTTTCCAGCTTCTGTTTGCAAATATTAGCAATCAGCAGCCTGGCAGGCTTGGAGAGATGGAATCTTAAATTACATAAAGTCTCCAGTAGTGGTTTTGTCCAGCACAGAAATGATCAGCTGGCTGGTTTTGGCTTATTTGAGTTCTGCTTGTGTGGCCAAACAAGGGCGCTGCTGGCTCCTCATGGCATCTCTGTGTAAGAATGACCAAATTTCTTGCTGAAATGGCAGGGATGGTTAAGTGGGCAAACAGTGGGGAAAGGCAGAACTTTGCAGCTCTTACAGGAAAAACCTTGTGCTGTTCAGATCCGGTCTTGCTTGGTTTCGTTCCCTGACTGTTTCTTCGTGCTGTGTCCGGATGGACACCAGCAGCTTGTCTGACTTGTGTCAGTCCTGTGAGGGGTCCTGACTTGTGTCAGTACTGGGAGGCAGAGAGAGAGAAACAGCACCTGGTGTGTCAGCTCCTGCTTATTATTGCTGGGAATATCTCTGCATGGCTTCAGGAATATGCACAGGTGACAGTCGTGTGCAGTAGTGGAAGGGTACTGAGGTGGGTGGGTGCATCCCCACAAGTGGCTGTGGCTTACACCAGCCCAGGCAGACAGGAGCAGGCAAGGACAGACAGACAGACCAGAGGCTGCTCCTGGCATGCCTGGCTGTGATGTGTCCCAGAGCAGGATGGCAGCTAGCTTCAACACTAACCAGCTGCTCTGTAGCACCTCTCCCAGGAAAATCTGTTGATGTGCAGAAACCTGGAATGGGGGGACCATTGTCCCCTTCCAAGTGGGAATTACACAGCTACTGAGCTTTTCTGCTATTCCCTTTGATCACCACGGTATTGCAGGCTGGAAAAGTAAATCTTTTGGCATGTTTTTTACAGTGTATTGGTAGGAATATTGATTTAGATCAAGGTTGGAGGCTGTTGCCTGGCAAGTATAATAAGCCACCTCTCCTCCCTCTCTAGGCTCAGCTCCTGGAGTTTTTTGTTCCTTATGTAGGTTGAAGTAATTTGCAGCAGTGTCACGACAGTGTTGTGTCCTGGTTGTCCAAGAAACCCTTCAGTGACATCATGCCTTCCTTTACAGAAGTTACTTTATTCCAGGAGATGGGATAACTGTCTCCCTGCATTCCTTACAGATACTCTCCTCATCGACTATCAGTTCACCTTCAGCCTTTCCCAGGAGGATGATCGCTATTACACAGCAATCAACTTTGTAGCAACACCTGAAGAGGTACATTTTCTATTTTCCCTTTTAACTTTGTCCTTTGTCTTCTCTTGGCCCTGGAGGCAATGAGTTGTTACAGTTCTCTGGGTCTTTAGGTGTAGTCTTGTGATATGGAAGGAGTGTCCTGCTCCATGAAGCAACCAGAGATTTTTGACCTTGGCTTGGCTGTGCAGTCCCAAATCATCAGGAAGATTTCATAAAGAACCACAGCTGATTCTTACCAGTTGGTGGAACAACCTCTGAGCCATGGCAGTATTTTTTAAATCACAGACCAGTTTGAGTTGGAAGGGACCTTAAAGCTCATCTTGCTCCAAATCCGCCTGCCATGGCAGGGACACCTCCCACTGTCCCAGGTGGATCCAACCCCAGTGTCCAGCCTGGCCTGGGACACTGCCAGGGATCCAGGGCAGCCACAGCTGCTCTGGGAATTGCAGCCCAGCCCCTGCCCACCCTCCCAGGCAGGAATTCCTTGCCAAGATCCCAGCCCAATCTGCCCTTTGCCCGTGGGAGCCATTCCCTGTGTGCTGTCCCTGCAGGCCTTGTCCCCAGTCCCTCTGCAGCTCTCCTGGAGCCCCTGCAGGCACTCCTTAGGCACTTCTCTTCTGCAGGCTGAACAGTCCCATCTCTCCCAGCCTGTCTCCAGAGCAGAGATGTTTTGCTCGTTTTCACCCCGTATCTTGTGTCTCAGTTCTCCCTTTGATATTCTGTACACATGACTTCTTTGTTATGTTTTCCTCAAGGAAGCGAACACTTCTTCCAGAAAATATAGTATGTAGTTTTTAGCTTGATGCATTTTCTTTATGTAAGTAACAAATTTCAAGATAATTTTTTGTAGCAATGATTTCCTAGGAAACAGTACAGCAAAACTGCTTATCCTAAAAATGGGGTTTCTTTTTTTGTTTCTTCCTTTAGCAAAACAGAGACCTGGACATGTTCATCAATGCATCTAAAAACTTCAACCTCAACATTACTTGGTCCACAAGTTTTGCAGGTAAGTTGAGGATGATCTAAGTAACTCAGGAGATTTTTTCATTTAGCAGTTTCTGAAAAAGGCAAATTTAAATGGGAAAATTTTGGGGGGTTTTTAACCTATGTACTTTTTGCATAGTGTTATTAAATTGTCAGCCTGAGGGGGAAAGTAAAATGTTAAAAAAAAACTATGTTTTCAACTTTAATAGTGTATTTTGTAACCATTGAACGTGCAAATTTGGTTTTTTACAATGCAGCATCTTGTACACAGTGGTTTTGATAATGCAGTGCAGCTTAACATAGTCAATTTTGAATGGTTATTTTTTTAAAATTAGAATTTAGGATGGTTTGCCCTTTTGGTTGTTTTCTTAAATACACCTTGAAATATCTTCTCTTGCTACTTATTACAACAGCTGGTACACAGGCTGGGGAGGAAATTCCAGTTGTTTCCAGGACTAATATAAAAGAATACAAGGACAGTTTCTCCAATGAGAAATTTGATTTCCGCAACAACCCAAACATCACCTTCTTTGTTTATGTCAGCAATTTCACCTGGCCCATAAAAATACAGGTAAGAGCTGCTAATATATGTCAAATTGTTTAAAGGTGCTTTTTCTATTTCTCTCAAAACTGTGGGAGTTTGCTGTGCTTGGAGTAGTCGAAGCTGAGCCAGCCTGGTGTAATCCCAGAGCAGACAGAGTTTGATGTTCCTGGGTAAGAGGGAGAGAGGGTGTGAGGCATCTTCTGATGTTGCCTCAGCCCAGTGGATCTGAAGATGTGCTGTGAAAGAGAAACACTCACTTATTAACAGGGCCGTGTTTGACTTCAAATGTGCAGATCTTGATGTTGTAGAAAAAGACTGATAAAGCTAAAAAGGAAGCGTGGAAAGAGCAGACAGAGGAAATGCTTCAATAGCTCTTCAGTGCCTGGTACTCAAAAGGCCCAGCTGAAGGGCCACCCCCTTTCTCTTGCTGCTGCCTTAGGCTGGTGACACGTGCAGGACCAGCACTCATCCTTCCCCTTCATTCAGGGTAGTTGGTTGGCAGGCAGTGCCTGGGGCACCAGGCTGGCCGTGGTGATGAAGTGGTGCAGGAGGAGCAGTGGGTGAAACGAGGTGGTGATAAAATCAGACAAAATCACTTTCTGACTGGTGGTCATAAAATCAGACAGAATCACTCTGTGATTGGTGATAAAATCAGACAGAATCACTCTGTGATTGGTGATAAAATCAGACAGAATCACTCTGTGATTGCGATCACAGATCCTGCAGCTGCTGAGACTCACAACTCAGAGCAGCCTCAGCCACCTTCTTGCAGTGGGCTGGTCAAGTATCAGCTCCCTGTGTGCTCAGAGTGATGTGGGTGTTTGAAGGACAAAGTCCTTGGAGGTCTGGAGCAGAGATCATGGAATGGTTTGGGTTGGAAGGGGCTTTAAAGTGGTCTTGTCCCACCTGCTGCCATGGGCAGGGACAGCTTTGGCCAGCCCAGCTAGCTCCAGCCCTGTCCAGCCTCGAGCAGTTACAAGGATGTGGTAGCCACAAATCTCAACTAAAGCTTGGCATATTTGAATTCTGCCTTATTGAAGAAACTTGGTGAAATATGGGACCCCAAATCCTTCCATCTTCACCCTTGTTCATGCGATTGTTTTGTGAAAGCTGACATTTCACATTAATGCACTCAGTGTTTCAAATGTATTGGTCAGGCAAGCTCACTCTTTCAGCAAAAATAATGCACAGGATAATACTGAGCAAGAAAATGAGATCCACCTGGAAAAAGGTCCTTAAGCTATAGTGATATTTTTCCTGAATTTTTAAAAAAGTATTAGGAATACTTGTGAAATGTTCTTATCACCTTCTCCTAAAGATACTGGGTTTTAATTACTTGGGAAACTTTGTCTTGTTGATTGCAGGCTGGCTTTGGACTCTTTTTAATATCACTTACAGTTTTGGTAATCAGTTTGCAGCTGGAGAGTTTTTACTTCATAAACTGGTAAATTCTTAGTTTATTTTCAAGTCCTGATTTTTAAATGTGGAGGAGTTGATGAGCTGCAATTTAAAATCTTTGTCATTGGATACTCAAGTAGCAAGTCCCAAACCTCCTCATTTTCCTGTAAGTACTACTTGTAGGGGAAGTAGCATCTGTGTACAAAGGTGAGCACTTATGCAATGATGTATTTAATATTTGAGCTTCTCTTTCATCAGATTCATAATTGCAGGAGTCAGGAAAAAAAGTAATATTTTTTTTTAACCTTATCCGTTATTTTGATTGATATTTGATTTTCCATAATCAGCGCTGGACTGTACCATACCCTGATTTATTTCTTTGTTATTTATTGCTGCAGAACTGTGTGTTAGGGATACAGCTGACTGGTTTTTCTCTTACCACTCCTTACAGCATCCACTCTTCCCTTCCAATTCTGGTTTCCTTTACTTGTATGGTTGAAACATCTCTTGCTGCTTTGTTTTCATTTCCTGAGCAATGGCACAGCTTGATTTCTGCCAGTTCTTATTTTATCTCTTTACTTCTTGCTGGCTTTAAAGAATGAATCCTTTCCTCTCCTTAATACAAAGTCTCTCTAATTGATCCTCATGTCCCTTTCGAGGTTAGCTCTGAGGATGCAGCTTTCAAATAGTTTTGCATCTTTGACCTGAGAGAAATATTTAGATGGCAGCTTTCCCATTCCTGATCTCCTTAGTCCACTTGATTTTTACTGTTTGATTTCATTTCTCATAGTTAAAGAGTGAACTTTGATTCTCTTACAACACTTAACCTCTCTTTATCCTTAATTTAATGTGAATGTGCTTGTATGCACTCAATCCAAGTTAATGTTTTATTACCAGCTCTTCTTAGTGTCTTTATTACTTGCCAAAACCAAGTCTAAAATAGCACCAGCTCATTCATTGAGACACAGTTTTTGTGAAGAAGTCTGGCAGCGACCAGCAGTCTGTGGTCCATAGAATTTCTGTCAGTTTCCTCTTCAGTGCATAGCTAAAAACCAGAACTAACTGTGTCCTTTCAGGTCTTGTACAATCTGCCGTGAGGGATTGACCTTCCCTCAGCTGCAACCTGTGTCCCTACCTGTCCCTTCCATACCCCAATTTTCTTCATTTTTGTGAATTCATGGCTCTCTGTAGTTTGTGTTCGATATGATAAAATAGAAGCTAAATCATGGTACAGGTTTTTGGGACAAAAATTTTTTTGGACAAATGCCCAGAGAAGCTGTGGCTGCTCCATCCCTGGAAGTGTTTCAGGCCAGGTTGGATGGGGCTTGGAGTGCCCTGGTCTAGTGGAAGGTGTCCCTGCCGATGTCAGGGGAGTGGATTGACACGAGCTTTAAGATCCCTTCCAACCTCATTCTCTGATTCTGTGATTTTAAGACTTCCTGGCCATCAGTCCTTGACTCATCCCATGCTACATTCTTCTCAGGAATAGTTTTTATTCAGAGCTTTCCTTCTCTCATTTGTTTTTCCAAGGGGTTCATCCCTGATTTCCCTGCAGAAAAGTTCCTGTGCTGTTGGGATCAGTCCTTCAGGGCAGACTGGCTTGTTAATTAAAACTCCATGTTGCAGTATGGCCAGGATGCAAACTGTTCTCTTATCTTCTAGCTCGTCTCCTCCAGTATTCCTCATTGCACCCCCTCTATTAAACTGTCACACAGCGACAGAACATGTTTCAATTTCCTCTGGAAATTACACTGATTTTAATAGAGTGTGTCAAAGTCAGGAAAACTCTGCTCCTGCCAAGCTGCTGGAAATTATTCTGTCCTCATGTATGTGCATCACCTGGCAGCTCATGCGTGTGCTTGGGCTGCTCCTGGGCAGTGCAGCATGTCCAAGTCATATTTTAGGGGTTTATTCTTTGTTTGACTCTCTTAGTACTGACTGTCATTGTGCACACACTCACTTGTCCTGGCTTATTTTCAATTTCAGTACAACAGATGTATTTAAACATGAGTGTTTATACAAAATTTTGCAACAGAAAACTTTATAAATGTAGCTTTTACTGCAAAGGAATTCTACAATCCACATTATTTTGTTTTTCTAAGTATTGCAAACTTTATCTTGAAGTCCTTGATTGAAATCTGTCTCTTATTTATTCTCTCTCCTTGCCTGTTAAAATCTGCACTTGGAAAGTGTAAGTGCTCCTTTGTGTAAGAGATGTGTGTCCTTGCCAATACTCAGTTCTGGCTCTTCTTTCCCACCTCATGCTCCACCTTGCTCCACCTCTTTTTCAAACCACTTCAGTTCATTTATTTTTTAAAGTATATTAGTTTAGGATGCTTTCCCCGCCTGGTTAATGACTTAAAATAATTATTCAGTAAAAGAACTAAAGCAGCAAAATGCAGAAAGCCTTCAAAATACAGCAATCTTCTTCCTAATTCCTCCTTTCTGAGCAATTCCAACCATGAAGGAGTTCACTTAAAGCCTTACTTTGCCAAGCTTTACTGAAAATCCTGGTAAGGTCTTGTCAACAGTGTCTGGATATTTCCATTTAGCAAACCCCAGCTGTTCACCTTCCTCTCCTCAGCTTGGCTCTAAACATTCCCTATCTTCCCCCAAGGGAGTCCATCCTTTAGGAAAGGACATTAGTGGGCATTGAGGGATTGAGATTTTTTTTCACTTATGTAAATGTAATAGTAATCTTTCCCCCACTATTCTTTCTCTTTGCTTAATCTTCATTGTGAGTTTGCTTTGTTATTCTTTCCAAACTTAGCTCAGAGTAGAAGAAAGACACTGACTGTAAATAATCTGCTGTACAATAGCACAGTACGAAGCAAAGGAATTCAGTGCAGAAACTTTCAGAGGAGTTCTCTTCATGGGTTTCAATCCATGCAAAGTCAGTTCACTCTGAGGTGAAACTGCAGTTCTGGGGCTGACAAGTAGTTAATGGTAAGAATTTTTAAACTCTCTTAGATACCTGTGTAAGTGTCAGCAGGTTTTAACACTGTTTAAACTTGTGTGTATTTACCTGGGGCCGAGTCCAGTGAGTGAATTGCTCTCCAGAATGTACAGGAGGGTGAAAATTCGATCTGCTAATACAGGAAACTCTCCCCTCACTGTAAGATTTCTTCTTCATCACAATTTTCTGCTGATGGTGTCTGCTACCACTCGCTAAATACAAATTGGTGGTTTAGTCTTGTTTCATACCCAAACTATTGTTTATATTCACTAATGTTCTGTCCCATTTGATATTTGATTTTTTCCTCTCAGATTCCGAGCATCTTGCATTGATCTCTATGTTCTGAGAATGTGTAAGACGTTTAGGAGCTGATTAAGGCAAAACCAGTTTGTAATTGTATCATTAACTGGCAATTGCCTCCTGTCTTTCCTTCGTGTTGGTTGAAGGATTTTGATTTGAACACGCTTAAATGTTAATTATGAACCAAATGCTTCAAGAAACAAAAAGAGGCGAAGGAATTTTGCAGTCTTTGCATACAAAATGTACCATTTGCAAAATCTCATTAGGTATTTACTGTATATCATTTTCTTGTCAATTCATTGTCGTGTTGGGCTTCAAAAAGTGCCACTGTGACTGCACAGCATCTCTGCACGTGCAGCGTGGTGGAAGCTGC